GAAGGACTTGCTTTAGAAAGCAGAGACCCCATAGAAAGGTCACCCTCAGAGGTCCCACCCACAGATACCCCACCACCTTCAAAATGCATGCACCTCTGTGTGTGTGTGTGTGTGTGTGTGTGTGTGTGTGTTGGGCGGGGAGGGGGTTCCTGCTTCATTCATTCATGGCTTCAACCACAGCCAGTCCTCCTGGTGCCAGGGCGCTTGCTCAACTGCAGAGTAAATGTTACACCTGCAGCCTGCCTGGAAGGAAGGAGAGACAGAAGGAGCCCCTTGGCCCCCGGCTGCACTAGAATGAGGTAAACAAGGTCTGTGTTGCAATCCAGGCACCTGCGACAAGGTCAGCATGCAGGGCCGGGGTGTGGGGGTGTGGAGCGGTGGAGGCAAAGGGCAGGAGGAGGCCTGGTGTGGAAGGGAGTGGGACTGGCAGGGAGGAGGGTGGACGGAGCTGGGAGAAGAGGAAGATCTGGTGGATGAAGGCAGGACAGTGGGGAGGAGGCGCAGGAGGGGGAGGGTTGGGGGGATGCTGCTTGTCTCTAAGGCGAAAGCAGGCAAGAGTCGGAGAAGTCCAAAGTACAAGGGAAGGGGCTGGCAGGCTTAGTCACCGGCTTTCAAGCGCTCAGTCAACTGCCGCGTTCCGGGCAGACTCCCTCAGTGCCTCCGGGTCTCCAGAGTGTCTTCAGGCCTTGCCCCTGAGACCAGGAGCCCCCCCCTCACCGCCAGCCCCAACCCCAACCCCTCAAGGGAGAAACTCCAGGAGAGGGATCTCCCTCTTTGGGGCCAAAGCTCCTTAACAGCAGGCATGGGGTCATTCTCCCATCTAGGGTTCCCTGGGGGACCGGGCCACTGGATGGTCCAGACCATAGGTTGTCGGGCACTCATGTGCCAAGCAGTCTTCAGGACACTTCACTAGAGTTGCCCCCCCACACACACACCGTGACCTTTATGACACCAGGAGGGAAAGTTTCCCCATTTGACATCAAAGAGAGGCTCCCAGAGGGGAAATAATTGGGCCAGAACACATCTGAAGCCTGGTGCATCTCTCTGTGAGCTTTACTGAGAGCCCCTGCTTTGGGGACTGGGAATGCAGCAGTGAGAGACAGCCCCCCAGCTCTCAGGGGGCTTCTGGTATTTTTTTACAGGGGAAGACAAAAAATCCAAGAAGCAAATCAAGAGGTTGAGCTAATGATGAAGGACATACAAAGCAGATAGAGAGGGGCAAGCATGTGGGGGCTGCTCCTCAGGCTGGGAAGCCGAGGGAGGCCCCTGCCCAGTAGACACCCCTGCTCAGCAGACACTCTAGAAGTAGGGAAGTGGGACAGCCTCCCATACAGAGAGAAGGGTGAGCATGGAAGCCCTGAGACCAGATGGAGCTTCCTGCCATGCCCTTCCTGCCCAAGTGGCAAGTGGGCAAGCAGAACTGGATCTGACCTTGAAGGGGGTAGGCAGGAGTTGGGTATCTTCAGGCTTTGGGCAAAAGAGGATGGGAAGCTGCAAGAAGGGTTAGAAGAGGTGGGAGTGGAGGCAGGGAGGCCAAGTGAGTAGCTATTCCATAGGGCATCTGGCTCAGAGATGATGGGGCCCATGGTAGGGAGGATTTTGACCCTAAAACCCAAGCATTAAAAATAAATAAATAAATAAATAAATAAATAAATAAATAAATAAATAAATAAATAAATCCCAAGCATTTTGGGATGCCTGGGTGGCTCAGTGGTTGAGCATTTGTCTGCCTTCTGCTCAGGGTGGGATCCCAGGATCCAGGATCTAGTCCTACATCAGGCTCCCTGCATGGAGCCTGCTTCTCTTTCTGCCTATGTCTCTGCTTCTCTCTCTCTGTGTCTCTCATGAATAAATAAATAAAATCTTTTTTAAAAAACATATAAATAAAGCTCAAACATTTTACCACTGACAGTGACTTTTTTTCTTCCTTGGCCCTCATTGGCCATGACAGTGGCAGGCACATAGTGGGTAGTCAATCAACTCATTCACGTATTCGGTGAATATTTATTGAGCACTTACTATGTGCCTGGTTTTGTCCTAGGCCCCAGGGATATACCAGTGAACCAGGCAAAGTCCTTGGCCCCTTGGAGCTTATACTATAGAGGGAGAGGGTACATGTGTGTGCACACGTGTGTGATTGGTGATAAGGGAAGGGAAAGGGGCCTCAGTTGAGGGGGGGAGGTTGTTTTAAATGTGGTGATCACAGCAAGTTTCCCTGACGAGGCGATCTCTAAGCCTAGATCTCAAAAGAGTCAGGTGGGGAGACTTACATGTATCTTGAGGAAGTACATTTCAAACAGAACAGCAGGTACAAAGGCCCAGAGGTGGCGGAGTGCTTGTTGACCAACCAGCAGATCTCTTACTTGTTGATTCATTAATCAGTACCTGTGTCTCTGCTTTGGAAGCCTCTGAGAACAATGCCTGGGTCTTTCCCAGTGAACAAGACTGGTCAGAAGGGTGGAATGGGAGCCAATCCCTTCCTTTTTTTAATGCTGTCCCTCTTTTCCCAGCACTGACCAGGCCTAGAAGCAGGGGTAGTGGGATGGACAGATACTGAAGCTGTCACACTGCCTGGAGGAAAGGCAGAGAAAGTCAAGGAATAGGGCTGGTTCTGTGCTATCCCAGAGGCCACCACTCACTCCCATGCTATTTTGGGGGACCCCACCCTGTCACCTGGCCCTTCTGCTCTGCCCCCGACATGGCCCCCATGTCAGGGGGAACCCTTTACCTCTCCAGACAGCCATCTGCTAGCGAGTCATTTGCCTCACTCATCATCTCCCCAGGGATTAAGGATATGCCAAGAGGGTGTCCGCTACTCGGCCTCAACCTCTGGCCACCAAGGAGATACCTAGGAAAATCTGGGATTCTGCAATGCAAAAGACCAGCCCAGACTTGATGGCTGGTACTGCACCCAGACTCTTGGCTGTGCCGGGTCTTCCTATGACAGCAAAATGACAGTCACTTCCTCCTTATGATTCCTAAACCATTTCTGCTTCTCCAGCAATCTTGCTGACGAGACATGTTCTAAATTCCACTGATTCAAGACTTTCTATTCTTACCAAGAAAGTATAACAGCAATATATCCCCAAACATGCCTGACCACACATGGAACCTTAGAAGGCACGCGGAGGCACACGATGGGCAGGGATCACCCAACCTGCCAATTGTTCCTGATTCTCAGCCAGGCACGCCCCTCCTGGTCATGTGAGATTCTTCAGGCCCCAGAAACCCAGAAGGTCCCTCCCACAGAGCATCCTAGGGCTTTGCAAAGGAAGCCCTAACAGGGCAGCTCCTCTTTCCCTGTGTGAGCCCCTCGTCTAGAGCCCGGGGCTGTGGAGGAAGGAGAACCTGGCTTCTGGGACCCGTGAGTGGGGGAGAAGGCAGGAGAGAGCCATGCAGGGAAGGCGCCCAGCAGAGAGGGGCTGACATGGCTGGGCCTGGCCAGCTGCCCTTCGCCTTGGCTCAGTAGTCCTCCAAGCATGGCTCCCAGACCAGGAGCAGCAGCAGCCCCCCTGTTAGAAACACACAGGGGGCACCTGGGGGGCTCAGTGGTTGAGCGGCTGCCTTCAGCTCAGGTCATGATCCCGGGGTCCTGGAATCAAGTCTTGCGTCAGGCTCCCTGCGGGGAGCCTGCTTCTCCCTCTGCCTACGTCTCTGCCTCTCAATCTGTGTCTCTGATAAATAAATAATCTTTGTTTTTTTTTTTTTTTTAAAGGAAATTTGGAGGGATGAGGCCCAGCAATCTGTGTTTTAATAAACCTGGGTGATTTTGGTACAGAATGGTGGGACAGGTGAAACCGGACGGGGATGGGCAGTAAAGTCCAGTCCTGGCTGTCCACTGGGTTAAATAAAGAATTTTATGAGGGCTCTCTGGCAGTAATGAAGTCAAACCAACATCTAACTGGGAGATGCAGACTACCTGTGATACTCTCCCCCTTTCTCAAAACATGGCTCTTAGAAAAGAGAGAAGTGCCCTGGTTTTGTTAGTGGTCGTTTTTTTTTTTTTTTTTTTTTTTTTTTTTTTTTTTGCGTTTTGTTTTGTTTTGTTTCCTTCTCAGCAGCTGGAAAAGTCTCTGGTCCGGAAGAAGTGTAGCTATTTTGAAGGTCCTCGGGTAAAGTCACAGGGAAGCTGCCTGCCTGCCTAATTGAGCCAAATAATTTAATTTCTCCATTTGGTTAAGGGGAAAGAGCATCTTGCTTTTCCCCAAGCAGAGGTCTCCCTCCTCATCAACACACCCCCCTACCCCTGAGGAGAGAAAGGAGGGTCTTAGTCGGCATCTGTTGCCCTTGGACCCTCTCCCGCCTCCCACTTCTTTTTGGTGTGGGGACTTAGGGCGGTCTCCTCTGGAACTCAGTCCCCATCAAAAGTCAAGGAAGCACAACGACCTCTGTTTCGTCCTATTTGCCTTTTCGGTGATCCCTGAAGCCAGGAAGGGGACAGGTTTGTAAAACCCGCCTTCAGGGCAGAGAAAAAGGGTTGCCCGGGGTGCCCTGTGAAGGTCCCCTCCCGTTTACACTTACTGAGGGCCTGCAAGACCCCGACCTTTCACAGATACTTTCTTCCTTGCCCCTGGCTCAGAGGCGTTAAACAAGCAGCCCAAGGCCACACAGCGGGTGCTGAAGGCAGCAGAACCGGGCCCGGGCCTAGACCCTCCGGACCTTACGGCCTCTTCCGGACAAGCCGGGCCTGGAACCGACTCCCCTGGCGCCGGCCCGCCCTCCCTTGAGGAATCCGGGCCCCGGGGAGGTGGTCGCCGCGGGTCCTCCGCCCTCGGCCCCGGGGGACCCTGCCCTCCCCGCCCCCCCGTCCTGCGCCCTCCCCGGGGCTCCTCCGCGCCGCCCGCGCTGACTCAGCGTAAAGCGAGCCGCGCCCGCCCCGGGCTCCCGGGCTCCCGGGCTCCGCTCGGGTCGCCCCCCGCCCCGCCCCGCCCCGCCCCGCCCCCCGCCTCCCCGCCCCGCCCCCGGGGAGAGGTCCGGGCCGGAGCTGGCGGGGCCGCCGCAGAGCCGCTGGAGGGCGCGGGCCGGAGCGCGGCCGGGGCGGGCGCAGCATGACGGCCATCGCCGTGCAGGTAACCCGGGCCCGGCGGCGCCGCGCGGGCTGCGCCCCTCGGGAGGCGGGAGCGGACTTTGCGCGCGGAGCCCGGCCCAGCCGCGGCGGGGTGGGCGCGCGGGGGCCGAGTGCCCCGTGGTGCCCGCCCTCGGTTGCAAGCTTGCGGGGCGCGGAGGGAAGTGGGCGGGAAGCAACTTGGGGAGCCCGCTCCCCCACCCCGGGGCCGCCCCTGCGCGCGGTCTCCTAGGGCCTCTGCTCGCGGCCGTGGCTCCCAAGCTTCTTGGGGGGGGTTTCTGCTTCTCTTTGGGGTCCCCAGTAACCATGGGGGGGTCCCTCCTTTTTAAGAAGGAGAGGCGCATCCGGGGTGGAGGATGGACACAGTCCACTTGCAAAAGGGAGGCTTGTCTTATGTAAGGTGAGGATTTGTCTCGGGGGAAGCCAGAACTTTCTGGGCAGGGGCTAGAAAGACCGTCTCCCAGACGCTTCTGGGGTGCCGGGACGGGGACCCACTCGCGGGGCGCGCGGATGCTTAAGAGAAAAGCTGCCGGGCGGCAAGGGAGCCGCATCCCCCTGAAGGCTCGAGGTCTCAGACGGGGAGAAGATGTTTTTGTTGGCCGAGAAAGCTGCCCGTTCCTGCCGCGTCCCCTGGGCGCGCTGCCGTCCAAAGGCAACTTGGTGGCGGGACCGCCGGGTCCCCTGCGAGCGAGCCGCTTCCCCGAGGAGGCGGTTGCCGGCCCGCCCGGTCCGAGTCTCCTGGCCCCACCGTCCTAACGACTAGAGAGGCTCAGAGAGGCGCGTTGACTTTGGGCGCAAACGCCCAGCCTCCACCCCTGCCCCAACACCGACTCCCGTACGTGCGCCTTCACCCAGTTTATGGACGAAATAACTGAGGCTCAGAGCGAAGTAGCCCGCCCACCGCAGGCAGCCAAGCGACAGAATCGAGGTCCGGCGCTCGGCTGCTTACTCCAAGTCGTACTTGCCCTTTCTACTTTTTACTAACGAGAAACCCTCCCCGCCGGGCACCCCCGGACCCCATCCACTCAGGGCGCGGCCGCTCGGGGGAGCGGGGGCGGGTCGCAGCGAGCCCCTCCTCTTTGTTCCGGACCAGAATGCGGAGTCTCGAGGAGGGAGCGTCCGGGACAGCCCCTGGGAAGAAGGGGACCGGGAGGGAGGAGGGTGGGACCGGGTGTGGTCGCTGTCCTCCCGGAGCCCGCGGTCCAGCTGCGGAGAGAGGCTTGTAAACAAGGATTTAGAAGACAGATCGGGAAGTGGGGGCTAAATTAAGAGGTGCAAAGGCTGCAGGCTGGGTTAACGGGCGGGGGCGTCGTGTGCGGGGCCTGGAAGACTGGCAGCAGGTGGGGGGCCTCGGTGGTGGCGGAGCGGGAGGGGGCAGGGGCGAGCGGGGCCCCGAGGCTCTGCCCCAGGGGTGGGGCGCGCCCCAGGCTGTCCCTGCCTGACTGCGGTTGCTGCTCTTCAGAAGCGCCTTAAAGCCCTGCCAGGGGCTGTTCTAGGCTCTTGTGATAACTCATTCCAGCCCCACCCACCCACCCACCACCACTGGGAGGGAGATGCCCTATCTTCATGTATAGGCGAGGAAACCCAGTGGAAGGGGATACATGCATGCCAGAGGACGCATAGCCAAGAGCAGGCTGGCTGGGGGCGTGCAGGCAGGCGTGGGCTATGGTTCCAGGGATGGTGGCAGGAAGCTGGCCAAGATATTTCTAGTTGGGATGCCTGGGTGGCTCAGCGGTTGGGCGCCTCCCTTCAGCCCAGGGCTGATCCTGGAGTCCCGGGATCGATTCCCACATTGGGCTCCCTACATGGAGCCTCTGCCTGTGTCTCTGCCTCTGTCTCTCTGGTGAATAAATAATCTTAAAAAAAAAAAAGATATTTCTGGTTGATCATGATAGGGGCCTGACCGGGGCCTGCACGGAGTGGGCAGTGATTCTAGAGGCAAGTAATGGGAGGGAGGGCTGGGGATGTGAGGAAGGAATAGTGAGCAGGACCCGTGAGTGGTTTGAGGGGTTGAGGGGAGCAGGTGGGGTCCAGGAGTGTAGAGAAAAAGAAGACCTTGGGATTGGACTCAGTGGCCCAGGAGTGTCAAGTGACCCTGCCCTACAGCTCATAGAAATCATTAGGGGTTAGAGATGGAAAAGAGAAACATTTTTTTCATGGAGAAGAGATTAGTGTCTTGGCCCGGGTCCCCAAGCCCGAGGCCCTCAGGCAGGGGCAGGACTAGACAGTCTTGATTCCTCTTGTGCATTGGCCTTCCGCTGACCACACTGCCACCCGCGCCCCTCCACGAGGTGGTTTCAGGCCCTCTGTCACTGACAGCCAGCAGAGCAGCTCGAGTGTAGTGCAGTGTAGTTAGGAATGAAGACTCCAGTCTGCGTTATTATTGTTGTCATGTTATCAGTAGGCCCCCAAGCACCTTTCCATACATGATCTCACTTAATCCTTGGGAGTTTTCTTGCTGATTAAAGAGTTTAAATGAAGCCAGCTTTGAAGTTGGGAGGGGGAAGAAATGAACTGACATGAACTGGCTCCTCTTTGATCCCAGTGTGATGTCTGAAGGACTGGAGGCCAAAGTCCAGTCTGCCCAGGGCAGGTGGGGCCGAGTGAGGGACAGTGCATACCTGTTCTCTAGTTCCTGGGTCCTCTGGTGTTTTGTGACTTGACTGGGGCCTTGCCTCTGGGGCTCTCCTATTCCAGGACCTTACCAACCAACTTCTAGGAGCCTTGTAACCTGGCCAGGTAACTTCGTGGCTCCCACTCTCCTGCAGCAGTCGCCAACTCTCATTTTGTAGATGGGAAACCCAGGGCCACAGAGGTTCAGAAGCCACCCAAAGACAAAGGCCTTGAATGGTTTGTAGACAAAGGTTTCCTTAGTTTGCTTCTTAGCAGTAAAACCGTTTTTTTCTGATGAAAGCCAGCACAGACACCTAGGCTACCGGTGTCTTCAGCAGGTAAGAAGTACCTGTTGTGGTTGAAGTAGGGAAGTGATCCTAGCTGGCCAGCCCAGCTTCTCCTGCTCCCCCTACTTAGCACCTGGAGGCCGCTTAGCAAACAGGGGGTCACAGTTTGAGAACCCCAGCCGACTCCACCACAGTGTTCTTTCGAAGGTCCTGGGCTACTTTTGTCTGGGGATGTGAGTTGGGGCCCTGATCCCACCTCGGCATCCATCCCTCTGTACTCTCTACTCCTTTTCCCCACCAGTAGTAATGAGCCCCTGATAGGAATGCCCCATACTTGGAAGGCCCCAGTTTTTATTGGCTGAATGCATCCCGCACCCTGCACATTATACAGTTGTCCAGGCAGCCGGAACAAGCTTTGTGATTTAGGTGAGTGATCTTGGGGGAAGTCATCTGACCTCTGCATGACATAGTTTCCCTCTTTACACACCCCCTGTGGAGCTCCCTGCTCTCCCACCTCACAGGTTTGAGTAAAACAGGTCCCTGCTTAGGCAGAAGTGCTGAAAACAAACCAGGTTCTTATTCGTGTATGGGGCGGGGTGGGGGTGGGGGGGCTGAGATTTAGCAGTAGCTTCTGCTCCGATGGGCAGGTTAGCAGGCACCCTGATGTTCCTGCTGGGTCTCTGACCACAGGAGTCTCCCAGGAGCATGGCTTTGCTTTCTGTCCCTCACTGAGAGGTGTTACTGACTTGCCTCTGGAAGCTTCCATTTGCACATGGTATAAGGTGCCCCCCATAGTCCCTGTTCAGTTTCCCAGCAGTGAGAGCTGCACATGAGCTGCCTGCTTTGCTTGCCTCCCAAACTGAAGTGTAACCTGGGCTGCTTCTGTATACACTGTAAAGGATAATTTATGACCAGGTAGGAGACTTATTTAAAGGGAGCTTCTGATGGAGGTGACAGTGGTTGCAATGACCATTTTTCCTGTGGCTTCTCAAGCTCTCACTGGGCCTCACTGAATGCCCAGGTCAAGCTCCTGTGCCATGTACCAGGGATGCAGCAGTGCCTACTTGGGAGGCCATGCCCTCCTAAGTACAACTGTGGTCAGAACAGTGAAGAAAACGGCGCCTGACGGGAGGAGTCCTGGTTTGGGTTGGGTCAGGGAGGCAGGCAAGATCTCTGTGAGAAAGGGACATTTCCATAAAGACATGAAGAATGGAGAAAAGGAGGTAGCCTGGAAAAGAAGTTTTCAGGTGGAGGAGCCAGTAGGTCTGAGGAAGAAAGTTCTAGGCTTATCCTTAGGTCTGGAAAGAGGGCTGCTGTGTCAGAGCAAGGGGGCCAGGAAGAGTGTGCTGGGGGGTGAAGTTGGAGAGAGAGGCAGGGCAGAAGGTGCAGGTCTTGTGGGTAGTGGTAAGGAGTTTGATTCTTTGACATGCTTTTCTTTTTTTTTTGCTTTATGGTTGGGGATAGAACTCATGCCTGGGTGGCGTCCTGCAGCCATGAGATAAGGGACACCTCATTGGATGTCTGGCCCAGCTTGGCAGAAGAAAGGGGCAGGTGCACCCTTCAGGGCTGAAACTAGAGGCTCAGTGGCCTCCCCACACCCAGAAGCTTCTAGACAGACATCTTGATTGGCCAACTCTGGGAGGGGTGCAGGTTCAAGACTGAAGGGCAAAGTGCAAACACCACTTTGAGTACCAAGGAAAACAAGGTAATAACATGGAGTCTGGAACATGCAGAAGCAGCTGGGTGGAGATGAGAGTAAAACTGAAGTGTACTGGGAATGTAGCCTTGTATTAGAATGCTAATTAAAAAAAAAAAAGGAATACTAATAATCCAGTGCTGGGATTCTTGCCGTGTGTACAAAGAAACTCAGGGGGTACTGCAAGCTCAAGGTCACACGAGCCAGGCCTGACAAGTTTTCTGAATTCAGAACAGACTAGGATCTGCCAACCTGCTGGTCAGTAGAATTTGGATTTCTTATTCATGAAGATCATTGAAGAAAGAAAGGTCAGGGAACCTTTCGTGCCTGGTGAATAGTTGGACAGGCAGTGCTTCTAGGTCTTGAATGGAGGACGCAGCAGGTGGAATAGGGGAAGGACTCCCCAAGAAAGGTGAGTCGGCTGAAAGGTGAGGAGCTGGGAAAGAAGCTGCCTGCAAAGGTGGGCAAGGAGACTGCAGCTGAAAATGAGGCTTTGGGAAGCCGGGGACATGGTCAAGGGTTTTCCCTGCAGAGGTTGGAGGGGTAGAGCAGGGCCCTCCCTGACATGCTCTCTGGTGTCTTCCAGGCCCAGAGGCTCCTGGCCCAGAGGAGGCCCCAGCGGCCCTTCTTGGAATCCTTCATCCGGGCCCTCATCATTGTGTGTGCTGCTCTGGCCTTGGTCCTCTCCTCCGTCTCCATCTGCGATGGCCACTGGCTGCTGGCTGAAGACCGCCTCTTTGGGCTCTGGCACTTCTGCACGTCTTCCAACCAGACAGGGCCACTCTGCTTCAGAGACCTGAGTCAAGCCCGTGTGCCTGGGCTGGTGGTGGGCATGGTCCTGGCCCGCAGCGTGGGCGCCTTGGCCGTGGTGGTTGCCATTTTGGGCCTAGAGCTCCTCATGGTGTCCCAGGTGTGTGAGGACCTCCACTCGCGGCGCAAGTGGGCCATGGGCTCCATCCTCCTCCTCGTCTCTTTCGTCCTCTCCTCTGGAGGGCTCCTGAGTTTTGTGATCCTCCTCTGGAACCACGTTACGCTCATTGGCTTCACCCTGATGTTCTGGTGCGAGTTCACAGCCTCCTTCCTCTTCTTTCTGAATGCCATCAGTGGCCTTCACATCAACAGCATCACCCATCCCTGGGGCCAACCAAGGAAATTTTAGGCCTCTCGCCTACATCCGAGGACATCAGGTTCTACATGCAAGTGTGGGCAAGATTCGACTTTTCCAACATGTGACCTCTGGTGGGGGTAAAGGCAGGACAGTGACCTTGAAACTGCTGCTGCTTAGCCAATAACCTTTGGGTGGTTGGCCACAATCAGCCCAGTGGCCTTTGCAGCTGGCCTGCAGGGCCAGAGGCCAGGGTGCCTCAGTGCCACCAGCTGCACAGGCTTAGCCAAGTCATTAGGATGTTGATTTTAGAAGAAGTAACATATTTTAAAATCTTTTTCTTGGATCCTTCTTCTTGGGATGGGAATAGATTGGGAAGCAGCGTGGGTAACTGGTGCCCAGCTGCCTGCCCAGCTGACACTTGTTTTATTGACTGTGCTGGGATGGGGGCTGTCGGGTCTCTGGGGTCTCCTGGGGTTGCCCAGAGTGGATCATGCCTCCAGCTAAGCATATCCAGCCAGTGCCTCAGACTTCTCTTCCACCAGCTCAAAGGGCCTTTGGGCCCATCGCCCTGCCGTAGCTTCAGTCACGCTTGGAAGCAGAATTCAGGATTCCCTTGATTTTTTTTTTTTTTTGTACATACTTAGGTTTTCAAACCATTTGACTCCGTTTGAACCCTGCCCTTTGGGGCAGGGGTGGGGAGGGCATAATCCTTGAATAACTGTAGCCTCCAGCAGCCGGCTGTCCTGTCTGTGGGGACCCTGCCCTAAGCCCTTCCAGCAAGCTTCCCAGGGTGGCCTGCCAACCCTCCAAGGCAGTCCTCCCTGAGGCCAGCATGCCTGCGTGTCTGCTTCTGATGTGTCAGGACGGCCTCAGGGTACCACTTCTGATCCTAGAGCACATTTCCAAAGAGCACAGATCTGGACCTGCTAAATTCCAAGGGGTAAAGGGGACTTGCAGGGCCTTGAGTAATGATTAACAGCCTGCCCCGGGGGATGAGTGCGGGTGAAGGGGACCAGGAACCAGTGGAGATTTCCATCCTTGCCCACAGATGTGCATTTCTGTGCCAATTGCCCCCTTTCCAGTCTCTTCTCTGCCCCATAGCTGGGGTTTCGCCCCTCAGCCACTTCATTCCCCCCTTCCCTCTCCACCTGGGCCACACTGCTGCTGCTCCTGGCATGGGTTTGGGTCTCTGCCCCATCCTTGTCACTGAAGGTCCCCTTCCTGGCCTGGGCTGGGTGCGTTTATCTATCTCTTGGGGTTCTTCAAAGCTTTTCCAGTGGAGTCCATGGCAATCACTGAAGAAAGGTGTTACGGGCCAATCAGTTTTTCAGAGAGCAGAGCTCATCAACCCTATGGGCTGGGTTCTTAGCCCTGGCAAAGAAGCACCTGACCTTTCATTTCAAGAGCCTTCACCAGGCGCAAAGGGGTGACCTTGTCTGCAATGGGGAGGTGCAAAGGTGGGAAGCCAGGGCCCAGAGGGGGATGGCACTTGTCCGGGGTCACCCAGCAACAAGATGTCTCCTCTACATTTGAGCTCCTGTACACAATGCTTTCCCCTGAACACTGGTAGGCTTTGTTTTGTAAAAGGGCTCAAATGTTCAGTTCACTTTCATCCTCATGTGGCTGGTGGTGAGGGTGTGCTGATAAGGGGAACTGAGATCCAGAGATTAAAGGGGAGACATCCCCCAGAAGACCACCCTGTCCCCTGCCCAGGACTGAAGAAACAGATACAGGCTCGGAGAACAGGGATTTGACACCAAAGCCCTCAATGGAACTTCTGTCCCTTCTTGCTGGGTATCTCAGGCAAGTCACAGGACCTTAGTGAACCTGTTTCTTTTCTGTCCAGCGGAATCACACCCCCATTCCCAGAGGGATGCTTGCACCACACTAGGGTTACTAAGGAAGCTAGGGATCTTAGGACTGTCAGCCGTGCTGACTTGGGACAGATTAATCCAGCTGCCTTGACGCTGTAGGGGAAGAACTACCAGAGAGGTGACTTGTAGTGAAGGGTAGGGAGGGTCCACCTAGAGCCAAGGGTCTCCATTTCTCCCGTTTCCTGGGTGTTGAACTTATCCCTGAAAACTCCAGGAAGGGGTAGGGAAGCGAGTGGGAGGGTCCTCCTCCACCTGGTGTCTCAAGGGCAAAAAGAGTGGTCAGTTACAGACCAAACCCATCCCCACTACCATTTATTTCCCTGCCCTCTTCTGGAGCGCCCGAACTGCCCTTCCCAAATACAACAGACCCAGGCCCTCTCTTCCTGCCCCGTGGTCCCTCATGGTCTTCAGTTTTGAGGAACATATCACCTTGGGCTCCAACCCAAGGCCCAGAGGAGGGCTGTGATGGGTCCCAGGAGGAACAGATGTCTGCAGAGAACTGTCCTGCAGCAGTGTCTGGCCTTCTCACAACCTGTCTTGGCGTCTATCTGTCCTGTGACTGGCCCTGCTCCAGACCCTCAAATGACACTGGCCCTGTAGGTGGCCCGGCTCTGCTCTGAGGTGCTGGCCTTGGTGCTGTGGGTGAAGCCAGTGAGGCCGCTGGTGCCATTGCTGAAGGAGGTGCTGAGGGCCACGGGGCGCAGGAGGAGCTCGCGGAGATGCCACTGCTGCCACTTCTTCTGCACCTCCAGCTGCACCTGGCCCAGAGACCAGCCATCAGTTGGGGAAGACAACTCACCTTGTCCCCAGAGCCCCATTCACTGCCCCCTCAGCACAGGCCCTGCCTTTCCTGCAGGCCACTCAGATGGACCCCTTCCAGCTCCAATATCCAGTGGGGATCGAATCCCCTCACCTTATCTGGACACTTTGACCTGCCACCTTACTGCACGTGTCCTGAAGAAGGGGCTTGGGGTTATTTTATGAATTGCAGAATGACATCCAGATCATGACCTGGGACCACCGGACCCATTCCCATAAAGCCAGCCTAGCTCAGAACTTAAATCTGGGGACCTTGGAGTGGCTCTTTGGATATTAATTTCACGGTCCCCAAGCTGTAGCAGCCCAAACCTTTGAAGCCAGGCTTCAGGGCTTGAGTTCTGGAAAACAGGTTATTCCCCTTCAAGTGTGGTGAACCAGATAAATGGTCAACAGTCACAGGAAGGCCCGACTTGGGTAGAATACTGTATTCAACTGTTGGTTGCATGGCTTGTGTGTCCCCCCCCACAAATGCTCTGGGCAGGGAGCAGAGAGACTGCAAGGTAAGTGTGCAGCCCTCCAAAGAGTCAACGATTATTTGGAGGTCAGTGAGCACTGAGCTTTAGGGATTGCATCATCGAGTCACTCATTTTACAAATGGGGAGACTGAGGCCCAGAGGAGGGCAGTGACCTGGATGACCCATCAGGCAAGCATCAGAGCCATTGGGAACCAGGGTTCTTGTTGGGGTGCCTGCAACTTTTGCTCTAGTCCCAGGACTTGCTCAAGGATAAGAATTACCTGGAATGCTTGTTAAACATTTTCAGGCTCTAACCCAGACATAACAATCCTTTTGTCGAATTAGAAGGGGGGGAGGGATGTGGTGTGGGTCGGGTAGGGCCAAGCAATTGTTTTAATGAGACCTGGTGCTTCAGTGCTTCCATGAAGTGGGCTCAGGAGACCTCCCCCTCCCAGACCACCCATCTCTCCCCACCACCCTGGTTTTCCAGGGAGCTTCTGAGCAGGAATCCGGTGGCTAGGGAGCTCCTCCATCTGGGCACCTGGAGAACACTCACCTCCCCATTGAGGAAGCAGTAAAGGACGGCCACCACCAGGCCCTGCAGAGGGGGCAGAGGCAGCAGGGGGTCAGTGCAGGTGCTCGGGCACCCGGCCTCCTTCCTTCAACCTCTTCCCTATGTCCTTAAAATTGTCAGCCCCAGGCTCACTTCTCCCCAGAGAGTGCCCCAGAGCCTTCCCACACCTCTCACTCCAGGGGGGACTGGGGCTACTTCTTGGGGGGGGCCCACAGTGCCCCTGGCTGTGCTGGCATCATCTGGCACAGGCTCAGCTCCTTGGGGCAGGGGCAGGGTCCAGCATGGGGCATTGCATGCATGTGATTTCAGCGCAGAAGCTGCTAACCTGGGCCTGTGGAGACCCGGCAAGTCACCAGAATTAGTAAGGCAGGCCGTCTGGGAGAAGCAAGGAGTGGTGGCACCTGAAGTGCACCTGTCCCTCAGGTAGGGGGTGGGGACAGCCCATGTGAGACCCCCTGGGCCCTGTGTGGGCTCATTTTCAAGATAAGCTGGAAACCTGGAGATGTTCCAACACAGGCAACTATTCAAACTGAAACACAAGCACGTGAGCATGATGTCAGAACAAAACCCGCATGTAGGTCCGGGCCAGTGAGGTATGACTCCCTGTTTATGTCACCTTGGTTAGGGACCTTGGGGCTATACATACTTACGTTCCTTGGTGTGGTGGGGGTGTGTACCTATCAGGACCCTCGCTCTCCAGTCTCTAGGGTTCCTGTTTCCCAGTGGCGCCTCCCCCTGCCCCCAGTCGTGGCTTGGAGCTTTGCCAGGGCAGGGACTCCAGTCTCAAGATGCAGGATTGAGGCCAAGAGGCCTGCTTGGGGCCATAAGCTATGGGGGGGGGGGGTCCTCCACAGTGCTTTTGCTCATCTCAGGGACACACCTCCAGCCAGCCTGCCCTTGCTTCTGCCCTGAGGCTTCCCTAGCTGGTGAGCACCCTGGCCCTCAGAGGCCTGGGTGTCATAGCTCTGACCTCAGGGGGCCCTAAACCGCACCCTCCCCCCCAACCCCCGACACTTCCCAGTCCCATCCAAGCCTGCCCTCACCTACTTACTACATTGGAAAGGACCCAAAAGAATGATGAGCCAGCCTGACTATGGTGGGCTTAATATGTACCATTGCTCAGGGCTAAGGTCATTTTTAACAAGAGTTAGTGACAGACCTCAAAGAATTATCAGGCATCGAGGACCACTGCAGAACAGGGACTATTTGGGGGAGGTGGGCAGCAGGAACACTTACACAAGGTACCAATCTCTAAAGTCTGTAGCATGTTAGCATCACGTGGGAGCGTTTGCCTATGTTGCACTCCATACCCAAGTCCAAATGTCTGAGGATGGAAGCCCCAGCAGCTTTGAAAAATCCCAGATGGTTCTAACAGGTATTCCCAATTGGAAACCACCATCAGAGGGTGTGAAAGGCTTTGGGATGAAATGGAACAGGATGTGGTGTGCCACCTGGCTTGCATACTTGTGGGGCTCTGGTTTCCAGGTGTATCACTGAATCCTTGCCAAAGCCCGAGCTGGAGGTCAGGCTGCTGGCTGTGGGTGTGGCCCCTCTCACTGGGCCCAGGAGTGCCTGTGCTGCCAAGATCCTGGGACACATTTTCACAGTTCAGGTGAGGGCAGGAGTCCTGGGTGAGGGAAAGCTAGTTGTACCCCAGGTATCTAGAGCTGTCTCCCACAGCTGACAAGTTAAAGAAATTCCACAGTGTTTATACAATCATTAAAAAATGAAGTCTTGGAAGAATTAATGACATAGGGAAATGTTCACCACAGGTAAGATAGAGATATTGGGACAAGCAAGATAAAAAAAAAACACATGCAGCGTGACCTCAATTTTACGGGACGTGTATACATGTGTATGTGTCTTCCTGCAGAGAAAAGGGACGAGTAAACCCACTGTCATTTTAACAGGTTATTTCTGCAGTCATGAGATTGTGGATGATTTCCTTTCTTAACTATTCCTTATTTTCCAAATTTCCTATATTAAGTATCATTTCTACAATCAGAAAAAAGCTAATCAACTTGCGTCTCTAAAGGAACAGGATGGTGATAATGTTTGTGGTTCTGGGTATGTTTTTCCTTAAGCCCGATCTTTTCGAGATACATACTTGCATATTTACATTTGAGAAGAATCATCCCTTTGGCTTAAAATGATGGGGATGGGATGGAGGGAACAGATGGGGACAGAGCTGGAACATGCTGCACCTTGAGCGGGCAGTGGTCACATGGGGGTTCACTACTATTCTCTTCACTTTAATATGTGAAGACATTCTCTACAATACAGACTTTTAAAAATAGACACATAGAGAATATATATGTGTAATATATAATAAACTGATAACATGTTTGTGAACAAGGGTTCAAAAAACCTCAAAGATCTGTTTTCTGCATAAACATGGACACATTAGGAAAGTGCTTTTGGTTTTGTCTCGACAAGCCATTTCCTTAGAAGCCGAATGGCCTTCCGCTGACAGTCCTCAACCCCAACCACAAGCCCCAGCTCCAGGGGACAGGAAGTCGGTTCCCTTTCTCGGCTGGGAGGCTGACCTGGGTCTCCTTGCTCGCAGTGTAGTGTGGTCACTACTCATTTCTGGAAGCCAGGCCAAGGCCTTCCATCCTTGTGGACCTGGAATCCCCTACCTGCTAATGGGCCATCGTGACCCAGGCCTCCTGGCATGTTACAAGAGCAGGTGGGCATGAAAACTCCCTGGTCCAGAAACAAAGAATATGGATTATGCAAGAGGCTGGGTTCCCTGGAGGCCTGGGGCACTGGCAGGGAGCTCCGGGCAGAGGAGAGAAGCTCAGGGAGGGCAGAGGGGACAGCCCCTGGGTGGCTAGGGCAAGACCTAACTGCTCAATAATGTGTCTCCAGTAATGTGTCCTGCCTGAAACCTGAAAGTGACAGGAGGATGACCCTGACTCACCCACTCGCCCTGAACTGAACTCAGGGACCGAGGGAGACTCAGGGTCCCGTCCTGAGACCAAAGCCTCTGCCATGAGGAGGACTCTTCAGGATAATCAGTGCGGTTGAGGACAGCTTGGCTTCTTGAGGAACAGCCACTGGGAGAAATTTCTCTCAGGCCCCCAAGCCTTTAATGTCTAGGCTTTTCCTGAGAATTGGCTTGTTCCCATCTATGGATATTACAAATTTTGGAACAGATTGCTTTGGCTACTGGGGAGCTCCAAACCAAATGTATGACCCATCTCTCCCACCTTCGTGGCACTCTATTGGATTTGCTTCTCTGTATGAACTCAGTTTGGGTTTTTATATTATTTTTTCACTGATTCTTCATCTACTTATTATTTTTTTAATCCTCTGTGTGGTTTTCCTGAAAGCTACATCATATTATTTTTGGAAGGAGACAGCTATGAGAGTGTAAACAAATAACATTCTGAAGTTTGGGATTCATGTGAAGAGTCCTTCTGTCTGAAGGTGTTTATTATTTGCTTTTTGTTGTTGGAGTTTTTTGTTTTTGACTATTCTTTTTTTTTTTTTAGCCTGACAACATCTTATGAGTTGGGGGTAGGTGATTTCCCCCTTCACTTTCCTTCCTTTTTTTTTATAGTTGGTTTTTCTTTTTGATACATTGTGTGTGCACATAGTTTCAAGGAGTCAAATGATTCTCATCAAAACAAGGGCAGCCTCCCAACACCCCTGCCCCCATTTCCTGTTCCTCAGAGGCAGCTACTTGGAATTCTCTTTGCAGCTTCTGAATAATATGCTGATGCTGCTCCTTCTGGATTTTTCAGTTTGGGGCATTTCATGGACTTCCCAGAATGAAGAGTTTATTCTCCTTCAGATGCCCTCCCCCGCCCCCCATTCCCACAATGCTCTTGAAAGAGAGAACCCCCAAGAGTCACAGTCCTTGAAGCTTACCTGGAAGGAACCAAGGGCCAATTCAAAGAACAACTGGACCTCCATGGCGTCCTCTGGGGAGAAGGCGAAGATGATGTAGTGGACTCCAAAGAGCGGGATCAGCAGGAGGGTGGACTTGGCCAGGCGCCTGCAGACAGAGACCCACTGTCGTGTCCCGTCTACTCCCCACAGGCACAGCTCCGCACACCCCAACCTACCTCATTGTAGGAGTCCTGGAGTGGTGCCCCAAAATCTTTGTGGTTTTATCTTTCATTTTGGAGAATGTCCAACTCCCACGTACCCATCCCCCAGGGCCAGTCCCCTAAGCTTTCTGATCGTGCACCCATCGGGAAAAGAAATTTGAACACATAGCCACCCAAATAACTTTATTATTTATTAATTACATGCATAAGTCATCAAACCTGTTATTCACAAAGCCAGCATTCTTAATTTTTTGATAATAACTATCTATAAGGAGACATTCTTTTATTTTCTTCCCAGATTGTGGTTGCTAAATTTAGAGATAAAAAATACAGGATGCCCCGTTCAATTTGAATTTCAGATAAACAATGGATAATAGTTTTTTTGGACAAAGTGCTAAGACACTATTTGTTGTTTATCCAAAATTCAAACTGAACTGGGCATCCTCTATTGGGCAACTTTATCCTGGATCCCCAGCTCTACCCTACTGTGGAGCCCACTGCCCTAAAGGTGTCCTGGAGAATCTGTCACCAAGTAATCACGTCACTACCAGATTCTCAAAGCTCAGAACATCACAGAGAAAGTCTTGGTTGGACACTGATTTATCTTTAACTATTCTGTTTTGAATTATGTCTCCTCCAGCCAAATACACAAATTGAAGTCCTAGGTGCAAGACCTTAGAAATACCTACCTGTACAAGCACGTAGGGCCCATAAAAGATGATTGAGCTAAAATAAGGTCATTAGGGTGGGACCTTAGTCCAATCAGCTGGTGTCCTTGTAAGAAGAGGAGGTGACACCAAAGATGCCCACACACAGACAAAAGGTCCAGTAAGGACACAGGGGAGAAGGCAGCCATCTACAAGGCCAGGAAGGAAGCCTTAGAAGAAACCAAACCTGTGAACACCTGAATCTTGGGTTTCCAGCCTCCAGCACTCAGAGAAAATAAATTTCTCTTCTTTACATCATCCAGTGTGTGGTTATTTTTTTACGGTGGCCCTAGCAAGCTAATACGGCATCTCCCTTTAACATCTTTTAAAGGTTTTAAAGTATTGTTGGATCCCACATCTTGAAAATCTGATGAAACCTAGAGTCTTTCTCCCCTGAAAAATACACATACCTGTTCAGATTTCTCTGAATTTGGGCCTCTGAAGCCCTAGCGTTTCCCCAAACATAGATGTCTGTTTCCTGGGATCCTGAGAGATTTCCATCTTCCCACCATTGGGCAATGTCTAAGGCTTCCCAGTGGGCCCATCCCTCCCCATCCCTATTCCCAAGAACATTGTAACCTTGGAATCAGGGCCAGTTGGGTAAACCATAGGTGCTCTGTAAATATCTGCTGACTGGCTGAGTGACACTCAGCCTTTGCCCTCTACTTACTTATAATGGTTCATTTCTTTTCCTCTTGTTTCTTGGGTTCTAAGTTTTCTCATCAGGATTCTTAGAATGTTTATAAAAAGGATGAAGTTAATCTGGAAAACACAAGAGGGACATGGGGCTGAAGGTGATTGCCACCTCTCCTGGCCCTGGCCCCTGGGAGAAGGTCGGAGAAGGCATTGCAGACCACACTCAGGGTGCATATCACTGCACCACCCTGCCCTCCAGGTATCTCCATGGGCCCGGAAGAACAAGCTGTCTGGAGATGTTGACTGACACAGCGCCTGCTCCAGGCACTGGCTGCAGGAGCTCTGAGGTCGGCTCATTTGGGGCAGAGATGGCTCACACTGGGAGTGCATTGGACTCCCTCGGGGACCTTGTTAAAAGGCAGGTCACCGGTGACCTGAGAATCTGCATTTCTTTCTTTTTTAAATTTTTTTTAAGATTTTATTTATTTGACAGAGAGCACAGCAGGGGGACCAGCAGGCAGAGCATACAGAGACACAGGCTCCCTGTTGAGCAGGGAACCATATGTGGGGCTCAATCCCAGCACCCTGGGATCATGACCTGAGCCAAGGGCAGACCCTTAACTGACTGAGCCACCCAGGCATCCCTGAGAGTCTGCATTTCTTTTTTTTTTTTTTTTAATTTTTATTTATTTATGATAGTCATACAGAGAGAGAGAGAGAGGCAGAGACACAGGCAGAGGGAGAAGCAGGCTCCATGCACCGGGAGCCTGATGTGGGATTCGATCCCGGGTCTCCAGGATCGCGCCCTGGGCCAAAGGCAGGCGCCAAACCGCTGCGCCACCCAGGGATCCCGAGTCTGCATTTCTATTAAGCTCCAGATAATGCCCAAACCAGTCCCTGACTACTTTGAGTAGCAAGGCTTTCTTCCAGCAGAGACTCTTAAAGTTCTGGGGGCAAGTCGGGGGTGGGGAGGCTCCCTCCATCAGGGGTTACAGGTCAGCAAATCTGGGGTGGGGCCCAAGAATTTGCATTTTTAACAAGCTTCCAGGTGATGCTGAAGCTGCCAGTCTGGGGACCACACTTTGAGTACCACTGCCTCAGAGCCTTCTAGAATCACTTTGGAGTTTAATAACCAACTCCAGGAAGCCACCCTTGATTACCTCTCTTTCCTGATACATTGCAGTTAAGGGGTCATGTTGGTGTGCAAGCACTTGAAATATTTGAGGGAGGCTAAACGCATGCATCTGTCAAACTTGGACATGTATCTACTTATCTGCCAATTCAATCATAACTTCCTCAAGGACAAGAATGTAGTCTCATTATTTTTTTTGTGTCCTTTTCCCCAAGCCCAGTGCCAGAATGTTATAAAAGTGCCCACGTGGCAGCCAGCCGGCACCTCTCCACCTCTCTCACCCACCCACCGGCTACAGCACCATTTGCAGAAGCAGGGATCCATGGAATCGCCCAGCCAGGCACCCTCATTGTTCACACAACCAGACTGGGGCCTGGGAATGCTGGCCAAAAGACAAGGATTAGTGATCTGTCCAGGACTCCTAGCCCAGCTTGCCTCTTCAGCAACATTGCTTCTCAGCTTGTTGTTTGTTTATGCATCTTGCTCACAGCTGACTATGCATGGCCTAAATGAATAAAGGTTATTTTACTTTCATTTATTTGTTTTGTCTTAGAGTTGCATTTTGATTTTATAGGGAGCACTGAAAGGCAAAAAAAAAAAAAAAGAAAAAGAAAAAAAGAAAGAAAGAAAGAAAAGAAAAGAAAAACATCTTTAAGAGCCCAAGAATGAGTCTTAAATAGTGAAATTTGATGCCCTTGACCTACTGGTTAGGAGATTTTTTTTTAAGTTCTTATTTATTAATTTAAGTAATCTCTACCCCCAACATGGGACTTGAACTCATGACCTGAGACCTAGTTGCATGCTCTTCTAATTGAGCCAGCCAGAGGCCCCTGTTGGGAGATATTTTGCATCAGGAGTGCCCACCAAACATCACTAGTCTGGTGAAACCCACCAGGGCACGGGGCCCATCGCCCCTCAGCCGGAGTTCTCATGGGCTGGGCTGTCAGATGCCCACAATGATGGTAGGGAAACTGGCCTAACTGAATGAGGAAAGACCGCCTATGGGAATATTATGCGGCCATAGCACATTGGCTGGTCAAATAATTTCAAAGAACATGGGATAGCTCACATCTATTGCTAAGGTTGGCAACTGAAAACTAGTATACAAAACTATATTGAGCATTTGGAAAAAAAGTATGTGTGCTCAAAAAAAAAAAAAAAAGAGGAAGGAAAAGTACATGTGTATTCCAGTGTGTCTTGGTGCTAAAAGTTCATGTGGTTTTATTCCCTTTTTGAAAAAAGGTACATTTTGTATCTTCCAAACTTTTTTACATGAATTCTATTTTGGAAAAAAAAAAAGTAAAGTAAAAAGAAGGGGTCCCAGAATGGCCCCCTCCTCCCAACTGCTCCTGGAAGGTCACAGCCAGCCAGTGGAAGTGGGGTGGGGGTGTGTGGAGGTGGCCACTGCCCTGTGCTGCATGCTTTCCCCCTCCAGTGAGCCCATGAAGGACTCCTCCTGTCAAATGGTCCTGCAGCCGTGCCTGGTGTCCCTTGGAGCCTTGCACACAGCTGAGGGGCTAATTCCTTCCAGGGGATAACCCCAGGGTGTCCCCATCTTCTGCCCACCTATTTCCTATCCCTTCCCACAGGCTCAGCTCCAGGCCTGCCAACTCTGACTGCAGAGCAGAAGCACCTGAGAACTTTGACATCCAATGAGCGCTCAGGCCCCACCCCAGAACAAAAAAAAGCCCAAATCTATCAGAATTTTTAAACAGCTCCCAGGTGATTCTGAAGGCCAGCTCAGTTGAGACACTCTGAGCTCCCCGTCCATGAGACTCACTCCTGTATCTCCTCCCTGGAAGCCACCCCTCAAGGCCTGCCCCTCCCCACCCCAACAGCATCCCAAAGACCCAAGACCAAGTTTCACTCGGCTTTCCTCAGCCCCAGTGATTTTTCTGTTTAACAAGAGCCTGCCTGGAAAAAAGATCAGGACCCAAAGATCTGAAGGAGGGATTTCAGGCCAGTTTAGGGCAAGGAGCTCTGCTCACCACATTTTAGTGGCTACTCACAGACCAAAGAGAGTTATATCAACTTTTGCTTCCTAAGTACACCTCATCTCACTCCTGTCCACCACCTACCATTCTCCCATCCATCATCTAGACCCTCAAGGCACTGGCCAATCTCGGGAAGCTCTGTGGTTTGTCCCTCCCAGCTCCTGGAGGGAGTGATGCTAGCCCTGTCCTTTGGCCTTCTGTCCAGGTCAGTCACCCTTTCCATCTCTCCCCCTGGAGGATGGCTACTCACCAGGATGGAGAGGATCACGGGCCCCCGAATGACCCACCAGATGGACTCATTGGCATTGACATCCCAGCACCTGTGGAGGGGTGGCCAGGCATGGTTAGGAGTGGAGAGCCAAGGTGACCAGGAAAGACCAGTTCCCCACGCTGGTGGCCCTGAACCCTGTGGGTGTGTGCCCAGGACTGTTCTAACTGACCCTGTTCTGCTGCCCAGGAGCGTTTCTGAGGGCACTGGAGCAGCTCCCTATCCCTGTGCATGTCCAGTGAGTGTCTGGGGCAGTAGATTGTACATGGAACCTGAGAGCCAGAAGATCCCAGAGCCCAAAGCCAGCACAGTGACAAACTGCCAAGAATGGCCAGGCAGGTGACATCAGTGAGTGAAGGGGCTGGGTGACTGCCATGTGACCTCAGGACCCTGGGACACCAGGTGAAGGGAGTACTTGGCAAACTGGAGAGCATGAGTGTGGCCTAAGGCAACCCCAACTCTGCTCCCGCTGATTTTTGCCTCAAGGGGAAATGAGAGATGTTGGTAGAACGTCTCATGTTTTCCAGAGAAGCTAAAAATCCCGATTAAAAAAAAAAATCTAATTCACCCAATGAAAATAATTACTTTGAAACAATTATTTGGGAGGCACATTTGGACTGCAAGACACCGGTAAGCCTCATACTGGCTCGGGTGCATCAGTGTGCCAGTGAGCAGCTGCCTCTATTCTGTCACGCTGCCTCACTTTGTCCCGGCTTTCTTTCTTTCTTTTTAAAGATTTTCTTTATTTATTTATTCATTCATGAGAGACAGAGAGAGAGGCAGAGACATAGGCAGCGGGAGAAGCAGGCTCCATGCAGGGAGCCCGACGTGGGACTCGATCCCAGGACCCCAGGATCACGCCCTGAGCCGAAGGCAGAGGCTCAACCATTGAGGCAGCCAGACGTCCCTCCCCAGCTTTCTGTCAAGATTCTCTCTGCGTGCCTACTTCCCAGCAGACCCACCTGGGTTTACCTCCATCCTCAGAGCCTGGGATCTTTAGAGAACAAAGTTAGATCTCTTTATCCCCATCAGGGGTTACGGGAATACAACTGTGCCCACCTCTGTTGGACTCTCAAACACCGGGGTGTAGGGAGGAGCAGAGGAGAGATACCCCAGGAGGAAGGAAAAGCCAGGTTGGCCCAGAGCTCCCTCTCTGAGCGGCACCTGCCTGGAATTTCACGGCTCCTGCCAGGCACCTGCAGGAGCTGATGGGGTGGGCAGGAAGGGAGGCAGGCCCAGGAGGGTGCGGGCGTGGTGAAGGCCACGACCCACACCACTAGCCCAGCACCCCGGGGTACTCGCCTGTGGCCCCCAGTTTGAAAAACAGGCCATTCCTAGAAGTGTCCATCATGCTTGAAGAGCTGGACAACATAAAATACACTCTTGTTACCTCTCCTTCAAACAGCTTACCCGACATCTTCCAGAAAGTGCCTGCTGATAGCCCACGAAGCAACAAAAATGGCCGGGGAACCTGAGGATTAAAAATAAAGGGAGGGGGAGAGGGGACTCAATTTTCAACACCCATACAGCAACAGGGCAGTGAGCCCGGCCTAGGAGTGAACAGGTGCCACAGAAACCCCCTTGGAAATCCTGTGCAAATGGGTAGACTCCTGCTTCTAGGGTACTAGGCACACACCAGGCAGAATCAGAAGGATCTTGAACACCACAGTGGGCTCAGGGTGTCCTGGGAGCCTGGGCCAGACCCGGCCGGCCCACTGCAGGGAGAGAAGGGGACAGTGATGACAGTGATGATCTACACCTGCGCTGTCCTGGGCAGTGGCTCCTCGCCACGCTTAGCCATCGAGTACTTGCTACGTGGCTGGTCCCAGTGGAGATGTGCTGTAAGTGCAAGATGCCAGATTTTGAAGATTTAGTAGGAATAACAGAATGTGTAATATGCTAATTTTATATTAATTATATGTTGAAATGATAATATTTTTACACCAGGCTAAAGAAAATATATTATTATTATTATTATTATTATTATTATTTAGAGATTTTATTTATTTATTCATGAGAGACACAGAGAGAGAGGCAGAGACACAGGCAGAGGGAGAAGCAGGCTCCCTGTGAGAAGCTTGATGTGGGACTCGCCAGCAACACCCCAGGATTACAGCCTGAGCCAAAGGCAGATGCTCAACCACTGAGCCACACAGGTGCCCTAAAATATATTATTGAGATTGATTTTACCTGCTTATTTTTACTGTGTTTGCTGTGGCTACTAGAAGATTTTAGGTTATACATGGCTCATTCTGTTTCTAATGGCCATGCTCACGTGCACCTGCACAGTAACAGCCCTGCCCCTGGGCTGCTCAGTTTTCAGACCTCCAGCAGCCAGGTTTACACCCTAGCCCCTCATCCCCAGGCAGAGAATTAAAGGATTTTTCTCTGGAAGAATCAAACAACCCCAGACAAAGGGTCTAGTGATCATGAGGCTGGGGACCCCCCAACACAGTGGCCACCTCCAGCTCCGTCTCCCTCAAGAGACATGACACACACACACACACCCCTCTACCCCACACACAAGATGTTCAGTCAGCACTGAAATGACTCATTCTTAAACATGAACAGACAGTCAAGGTCACGGACATCTGAGGAAAGCTGATTACATAAAAGACAAGGACCAAAATAATCAGAGAGAAGGAACTCAAAGGAAGCAGACCATGCAGGCTGCAGGAGGCACTTGAACAAAACAACTCTAAGGAGTATCATCAGAGAGATAAGAGGAAAGATTACATCTGCAAGACCCAAACAGGATGCTGAAAATAGGGAGCAGTCGGAGAACCAGGAAGAGGTCTTAGAAATTGAATATATGATAACCAAGATAAAAGACTCTATAGATGGGTTGGAGGATAGAGACCAGGAATTGCCCGGAAAGCAGAACACAAAGAGGATAATGAAAAGTAGGAGGAAAGACAGGAAAAAAATCAGAGGTCAATTCCAGGATGTGCGCCATCTGATGAAAAGTTTTAGAAAGAGAGGATAAAAACCAAGGGGAAAGAAATCGTGATGTAAGAACATTGTCTAAGAAAATGAAGGATGTGAGTTTCCAGATGAAAGGACCACCGGATGTCAGCGAAAAGGATGAAATCAGCTTGCTTGGGGGCACATCCCTAGGGCATTTCAAAACACAGGGCACAGAGAGAAGACCCTCCAGCTTAAGTAGAAAAAGATGAATAAAAATGCTCATGGGGGTGGGGGGAAGAATAACACAGCAGGGGTGCCTGGGTGGCTCAGCAGGTTAAGCATCCTCCTTTGGCTCAAATCATGATCTCGGGGTTCTGGGATGAAGTCCTGTGTCAGGCTCCCTGCTCAGCTGGAAGCCTGCTTCTCCCTCTCACTCTGCCCCTTACCCCTCAACCCCTGCTTACACATGCTCTCTCCCTCTCTTTCTCAAATAAATAAGTAAAATCTTAAAAAAAACAAAACAAAACAGAATAACACAGCACATCCTGTAGCATCAGATGCCCAAACAGAAAGCCTCCAAGATTCTAGGAGAAAACGAGTTTTTCAACCTAATTTCTATGCCCAGGAAAACTATGAATTTGGTGTGAAAGTTGAAAAAGATATTTTCAGATAATGCAATGCAAAAACATGTACCTTCCATGTACTCTTTGTTAGACAAGGACTAGAGTGTGTGCTCCAACACCACCAGGAGCAAACCGCAGAGGAGATAAGAAATAAAGGAATAGGCTATGTAGAGGAAAACGAAAGAAATTCTCAGCATGAAGGGTAAGAGAATTGAGCAAGTCTAGAAAACAACCAGCTCAAATAGAGCAGGAAGGCAGAAGTCTCTTAAAAGACCATTGTTGGGTCTGTTTGGTTAAATAGCATCCTCCCTAAGTTCATATCTACCCAGAACCTTAGAGCATGACCTGATTTGGAAAGAAGGTCTTTGCACATGTAATTAGGTAAAAGGAGGTCATAGGTCATATTTATAAGGAAGCCAGTCATATGGGGGCCCTAATCCAATATGGCTGGCATTCTTATAAGAAGGCCATGAGAGACACAGAGAGAAAGGACTCACAGAGGGAAGAAGGCCACATAAAGACAAAGGCAGAAATCGAAGGATGCATCCCTAAGCCAAAAACCACCAAGGACTGCCAGCAATGACCAGAAGCTAGAAGAGAGAGAGGCATGGGGCATTCCAGAAGGAATCAACCCTGCTTGAATCTTGATTTTGAACTTCTGGTCACCAGAACTGTGAGAGAATAAATTTCTGTTATTTTGAGGCACCAAGTTTGTGGCAATTTGTTTACGCAGCCCATAGGAAACTAAGACAGCAGGAAGAGTCCAAACAAATAGGAACTAATAGATTTCCTGTTGACATTGGATGATTTGGAAAACAGCCATAGGAGCGTCTTCTAGTTCTGTGGGAGAATTTGGGGGAATTAAGTACAGGAGCATAAAACAAGTAAGTCAATTAAAAGTGACTCCATAAAAAACAAAAGGTTAGACATTGGAAGTAAAATCATTGTACACAACTCGGCTCTGCAGTAAACATTTACGTAGACATACTGATATATACATCGAATAGGACTTAACCAAAAGTGGAAAAACTAGTGATAGGATGGAGGTAGTGGATGGAGAATTTTACATTCTTACTGTCCATCATTTAGAGTCAACCAATAGTGCCTCAGATGGACAAATCAGGGAATAGTAGAATCTTGTTTAGAAACACAAGAGTGAACATTAGAAGGACCGGCTAAGGAGTTGTATGGTGTCACCTCTGGATAGAAGTGGGGGCAAGAGACTGCATTTTGTCATCGTAAGTTTTGTGGTCCTATTTAATTCTTTAAACCAAGTATGTGCATGACTTTAATAAAAATAACATTTTTCCAAAAATTCCCTGCCTTATTTTTGGGTGCTTTGGGCAAAGAACATAGGTTCTGAAGGGCCACCTATTCATTGTTGTCTTCCATCTTTAACAGAGTGGGTGGAAAGTGGGAGAACCGATAATGGCTCGAGTTAGGGTTTCCCAGCGTGGTCTCCAGACTATCAGTATCAGAGTCACTGGGGCCTTAGTAGAAATGAAGAGTTTCTGGCTACACCCAAGGCCAACTGGCTCAGAGGCACAGGACATGGGGTCCAGCCAGCCAGGTTTGACACACCCTCCACGTGACTCTGATGCTGGCTCCCAACTCAGTGAGTGGGAGCTTGGTTCATCTTCCTAAAAGCCAAAGGTATCACCATTTTCTGGGTACAGGCTGACACCCCAGCCACCTTGAAAAAGTGTAAGTGTTGGATAAGTATTAAAAACCTTAAAAGTGGGCAGCCCCAGTGGCGCAGTGGTTTAGCACCGCCCGCAGCCCGGGGTGTGATCCTGGAGGCCCAGGATCGAGTCCCACATCGGCTCCTTGCATGGAACCTGCTTCTCCCTCTGCCTGTCTCTGCCTCTCTCTCTCTCTCTCTCTCTCTCTCTCTTTCTCTCTCTCTCTGTGTGTGTGTGTGTGTCTCTCATGAATAAATAAATAAAATCTTAAAAAAAATAAACCTTAAAAGTGCTCACTCCTGATTTCAGCGATCCCAATTCTAGGATTCCATATTACATGGAAATAAGCCTAGCTCACAGAAATATTTGTCACTGTGCTATTTATAACAGTGGAAAATTAGAAACAACTTAAATATCCATATAATAGGTATTTGGCTAAATATGTCCATGGACTAGTTAAAAATGTTTATGGAAAGGGTAGAAAAATACAGAGTACGCTTGTGTGTTAATGGAAAGAAGCAAGATTCAGAATTCTACATATGGAATGACCACAAAATTGCAGAGAAAAACTGAGTAGGAAAAATAGTCTGGAGGGAAACCAAAAAAATTTTTTCATTAGATGAGACCAGGGTAATTTTTTTTCTACTAAAAAAATGTTTTTTCACTTTTACAGTGAGCATGGACTCATTTAAGCAACCTATCTCTGGGGAAACAAGTTGCATATAAACTTAGGAGGGGCCCCTGCTTTTGCAAGAGAATGGCTTCACCCAGACAAAACACCTTAGACCTTCCTGAGTCCCTTCATGGTCTCCTCAGGACTATGCAGGCAGAGAGGAGGAACCGCTGTTTTAACTGCTGTTTTATGTGCTGTTCCACCCCGAGGGCCTGGCATATAGTAGATGCTCAGTAAATATTTAAGGAAGAAAGGATGGCTCTCATGATCTCATTTAAACTCTTTTAAAAACTCATTTAAACCCTGGGATTGAGCCCTGAGCAGGTGCTCCTCCCCACCAGCTTGTGCTCTCTTTCTCTCAAGTGAATACACAAAATCTTTAAAAATAATAAAATTAAAATAAAATAAATAAAATAAACCCTCCTTAAAAATCTGGATTGGGGATGTCACAATCCAATTTTGTCTCATTACTAGACTACGACACCTTTGAAGCTGGAATTGTTTTTGGTTTTGTTTCTGTAATCTTTAGAAGCCCCTCCTAGCACAAAGAAATACTCGAAGGAAGCCAAATAAATTGTGATCCTGGTATTACAGATAATGAAACTGCCCATGTTCATATGGTGAGATCCTGGCAGATTTGGGAGCCAAAGTCAGTGAATGAGGTTAGAAACTGGGTGCTTTTTTGGGGTCACCTGCATAAAGCAAGTCCCTGGTTTCCCAGCACTCTGGGACCACTGTCCTATGCAGAAATCCAAAGATCTGCAGAGCCCCACAGCTTCCACTGGCCAAGGGTCATGTGCTAATCAGGCTGCCAAAGTTTACAGGAGGGCTCAGTGAGCTCTGGCACCTCAGGTGACTTTCCTGATGTGAGGAGATAGGGCCCTTGCATGTAAGGATTCAGACAAGCAGAAAAGACAGGACATTCCTGGCAAGGGCACTTCTTAATTAAAGACACTAAGAAGAAAGCAAATGAAATTAATGGCTGGTACACATGACTATCCCTGTTAGCATATGAGTCACTCAAAGGAACCTGGCTATCTTTCTAGAGCCCAGTGGGTAACTTACATATGTTCATCAAATGAATACAGATGGATGGATGGATGGATGTACAGATGGATGGATGGGTACATAGATGGATGGGTGGATGGTTCGATGTATAGATGAATGGGTGGGTGGGTAGATGGATGGATGGATGGATGGGTACATAGATGGATGGGTGGATGGTTCGATGTATAGATGAATGGGTGGGTGGATGGATGGATGGATGGATGTTTGTGTTAATGGCAGAATAAGAATTTAGGGGCTTTGGAAATACACAAGCCTTGGTTTGAATCCTGGGTCTGCTCTTGTCTGCAGTGTGAGCTGAGCATATTACATCCTTTCTTTGAGCAGGTTTCTTTGAGAGGCCTCTGGAGGTTGTTATGGCAATTAAATAAGTATGTAAAGCACTGTACTCCTAGTAATTGCTCAAGAAATGGAAGTTATCATCTTCATTGATTAGAAATGAAAGGGGGAAGAGATGGAATGGGGCCTGTAGTTGGCTCTCTTACTACTATTTCCCCTCCTTCCCACAAACAAACCCTGAATTTCCTTTGGGAAACCATGTGGTTTGAGTAGCTTAAGCCAATCAGTGTATTTCCCTCACTCAGGCCTCTGTGATTGGTTCAAGGATGTATATGAGATAAGCCGGTCTAATCAGAGTGAACCTCAGAGTATTTGCTGGGAATGCTGGGACACAGCCTTTTTCTCTCATTGGATATAACAAGGAATCTGGTAGACCAGAAGCTGTTGGTCTAATGATAAAGCCAATGTTAGAGAAGGCAAAGTAGAAAGACAGACGCAAAGAAACGTGATTGAGCTGCTGGATCCAGCCTCATCTGAAGTTGGCAGTCCTTGAGCTTTTCAGATATAGGAGACAATTGATTTATGTTTAAAGCTGATCTAAGCCAGGTTTTCTGATACCTACAGTCAAAAGTACCCTAACTGATATAGAAAGGAAGCAAGAATGAAAATATGTCAGCAGAATGTCTAAGGAAGACAAGTGTTGGGTGGTATTGAATGGTAAGAGACTTTGGGTAGCCAAAATTGGGGATATATTTTAGCTTTTAATTCCCATTTGACATACAAATAAACCAGAACCAGGGTGTTAAATAAGAAGCAGCCTGCCTGATTCCACAAGTTAGCTAACTTAACTAAGCGTGGGGCTGGAACTAGAAACCAAATTCTCTAATTCAGTACCTTTTCCCATATACCACAGTCGTTATACCCATGGAGAAACATACCCCATCCGAGGGCAACAAATCCCTGGAGACACTTCCTTTCCGAGAAGAAAGAGATGACGAGGAGTGTGTGAAGGTAGAGACCTTCTACCAGCAGCCAGGCGTAGTTGGCCATGATGCAGTACTGGAAGAAAGCCATGACCAGCTTACAGCCCACCTGGACAGAGAGAGGCAGGTGAGCCCCAGGATAGGTGACAGTGGGCCTCCCTCTAGTGGCCACCCCCAAAGGAAGTGACAGGGTGTGGTAAGGGTCAGGTCACAGAGGGAGTCTCTGGGGCTCATGGCCATCTGCTGTGACCTTCCACTCTCAAAAGACCAGGCCTACAGAGGTGTCTAGAGGGCGGAAGTCCACATGCCAACAGGCTTAGACAAGAAGGCTAATGGGCCATCACAGAAGCAGGAATTGCATTCAAACCCTGGAACTGGCTGCCAGTTGTAAACCTGTGTCAGGTAGGGCCCAAATCCCACGTTCCTCATTTGCAGTTGAGAACACAGGTCTAGAGAAGGAAAGGGATTTCTGAGCAATGGCCTAACAAAATCCTTTCCAAGCTATTTCCACAGAAACAGATGAAAAGAAGGGACGTACCAATTATGTCAGGAGGCAACATTGATTATAGTGAAAACAGCCCCTCATTGGCACACTGCGTCTGTTCTGGAGACCTCTAACTACTGGATGGGGATGGGTGTTGGCTGTGCCTGGTTATGGGCATGTCTCTTACAGGGATCACCAGAAGCCATGCCTGGGGACTTATGGGGCACGAGGCTCCCTTGCCAGCAAGGCAACCCTTCCAACACTACAAGGGTCTCCTTTGCTTTCACTGAGCTGTTCCCTGGAGAGAAGACAGCTTCTGGGATGGCCCAAGGGCTGCTACATGGACTGCTTCGAGGTCACATCCACAGAGAAGGAGCACCCAGTGATGCCCTGCTGGCCAGCTGTGGTTCCTGGCCTACAGCCACCCATAGATTCTGATTCTAGGCAGGGCCCATGCTTGGCCTGTGAGTCTGCTGTTTAGTGGGCCCCAAGGAGGTTCCCTGCTGGCACTGCTAGACTTCTGGCTAGTTGAGGTGGGGGGCCTGAATTTAAGTCTTTTTTTTTTAAGATTTTATTTATTTATTCATAGAGACAGAGAGAGAGGCAGAGACACAGGAAGAAGCAGGCTCCATGCAGAGAGCCTGATGTGGGACTTGATCCAGGGTCTCCAGGATCACGCCCTGAGCTACAGGCGGCGCTAAACCGCTGAGCCACTGGGGCTGCCCGAATTTAAGTCTTCTGACTCTCACTCTGGTACTCTTCCTTCATCCTGCCAATCTCCCTGGGAGATTCCGTTTGAGTCGGAAAACACACACACACACACACACACACACACACACACACAGAACTATAAACCTTAACAGATCTGTAAGGAATTAGAGATACGAGCCAGGGAGGGAAGGGGAGTGACAGGCAGGTTGATCAAACCAATCTCAATCTCCAATCCCTTTCTCCTTTGTTTGCCTCTGCTATGGAGATTATGATAGTAAAAAACTCAATCTCCCAGCTTCCTTTGCAGTTAGCTATGGTCACATGACACAGTTCTAGCCAATGAAATGTAGACAGGTGTCTTGGGGGCAGACATTCTTTCCCATCCACAAAAGGCAAAGCTGCCCAAAGACAAAAGCTGTTTAAACTTGACTGTCTTGCTTGGCTGGAACATGGATGTGAGGCCTGGGGCTTCAGCAGCCACATTGTAAACATGTGGTGTAAAGCACAGAATCAAGCACGGTGGAGCATAAAGAAGGAAAATGATTGTGTCCACCATGGCATCATGGAGCCCCTGTGCCACCTCCAGATTTCCCATCTGCAGACTGTTTATGTGGGAAACCCCCATCTGTCCAAGCCACTGATGCATAGTTTTCTGTTATATGTGGCAAAAGGGATTCCCAACTGATACACAGAGTGATATTGCAAAGAATTAAGAGTCGTCATCTGAGCCTGCAGAAGGAGGAAGGGGGTTAGATTTAACAAAACAATAGTTTCACTACAGACCTGCAGATGTGGACACACAGGCGTGTGCTCCCATTTTGCTTTCTACAACCGACCTCAATCCTCTTTAGACTTGGTCATCTGTCCACAGCTGGGCCTTTGCAGGTGGAGGGAAAGCCTCACTACCTATCTAATTGCTCCAGTGGCTAATCCACTCCTGGATGCTGAGAGTCAAAGGGCAGCTTCCAGCAGCTTCCTGACAAGCTGCTCACATACATGACCCAGACTGTGCACTGGAGATGCAGGACTCTCCCCCCATCCCCAGGTCTAGCCCAGCACCGGCCCCTCTGCTCTAGGCATGAAGTGCAGCCAAAGTAGGTACTTGGGGGTGGGGCAACAGGGCCGCCACCCTTTCAAAACTTAGGCTGGGGAAGGAGGGCAGGCCTGGCCACATGCTGGGACCTGCAGGTGTGTTACCCTGTGGGCATCACAGTGAGTAACATCGTCCGAGGAGAAGAGCACCGCGTCCTTGATGAAGTTGGACAGGGCACGCAGGATGAAGGACACGAAAAGGTGCATATGGATGTAGTTTCGGGTGCAGTGGAGCCTCCTGGAGGGAAAGAATGCAAGGGTGTGGGGCCAGAGCCACAGGCACTCTGCCACACATTAGCTCTATGACCTTGAGCAAACCTTTTCACCTGCCAGAGCCGGAGCCTCCTCCTCTGCAGAAAGGGTCAAAGTCGGATACTCGTTCAGTCTTCTGGTACCAGAAGTAGGCTTTCTTATGGGGAACCCATCCCAGCGCTGGGTGGGGGTGGCTCCAAACCCCCTACCCTGTTGATAGACCTGACCAATCAGAGTACTCCAAACCCTGGCTGCAGTGATTGGCTCAGGCTGGGTGTGCCACCCAAGCGCGACCTATGAGAACCTCCCCCCACCCCACCCCAGGACTTTCATTGCAACTAATGGGCAAGCAGCTTTCCTTGTCCTGATGTGGCTGAGCTCATGGAATGTACCCCTGGGGCTGCTGGTGGTTGTCTCTGCCACCCCTGCAGAGAGCCTGCCTAAGGATGAGGCCAATGCAGAGTCGAGAAAGGGAGGGAGACAATCTAGTTCTGCTGATACCTTTGAGCACCTAGATCCAGCCATTCCTAAAGCCCGACAGATACTCCTGACTTTGTCAATTATGTAGGTCGGGTCACCTTTGTTTCTTTAAACTGTTTTTTTTTTTAATATTTTTTTTTATTTTTTATTTATGATAGTCACAGAGAGAGAGAGAGAGAGAGAGAGAGAGAGAGAGAGAGAGAGGCAGAGACACAGAGGGAGAAACAGGCTCCATGCACCAGGAGCCCGACGTGGGATTCGATCCCGGGTCTCCAGGATCGCGCCCTGGGCCAAAGGCAGGCGCCAAACCGCTGCGCCACCCAGGGATCCCTCTTTAAACTGTTTTAAGGTGGATTTCTATTTCTTGCAACCAAGAGTCTGGCTAACATCCCTATGAAATGGGGTTCATGATACCTATCTTACAGGATTGTGTGAAAATTACAAATAGCACATGTAAAGCAAGTGGTGCAGTAAGTTCCTAGATATGGTCAGGAAATGCTAAATGAATAGAAATATGAATAAGGCCACAGGGATATTAGTGTTTTGCCACAGGTAAGATCGAGAGCAAGAGGCCACAAGGTGGCCCACCCATACCTTCTTTTTTCCGGCCCAAGTAATTTAAAGAGACCCAAGTTCTGTGCCTGGAGAAGGCTGGGGAGACAGAGGGCTGGCAATGTGTTCTCACCGGAAAGCACAGAGGATGCTGAGGGCGACCAGGAGCATCACCAGGGAGGAGCTATAGCCCACGGTGTACATCACCTTCAGCTTCATCAGGTACTCGTGCTGCAGAGAGAGGCGTGTGTCAGCCCCACCCACCCACCTACCCGGCCACCTGTGCTGTTTTCTGCCTCAGAGATACCTGCTGGGGCCACTTGAACCTTTCAATACGGACTGCTACACTGATCACTCCATGGGCCTCAATTCATAGATTGGGAACATCTTGGCTTTGGAGAAAGCCTTGGGGATCATCTGCTGCCAAACTCAAGCTTCTACTCCATGTACAGCGCCCCTTACCACCACCCTGAATTCAAGCCTTTTGCTTGAACACCTCCAGGAATACAGGCTCACTGCCTTTTAGGAAGTCAGCTGCTATACAGCAGTGCAAAATATTAGATCATTTTTTTCTCCTGTGAAGCTAAAATCCATTACTTTTCAATTGTACTTATTGGTTCTTCTTTTGGACCCACTCCTGGAGCCACTTGAAATAAATTGAATTTGTCCGTACCTAAGGCCTATCATTATTTTTTAAAAATAAACGTGTCATTTTGAGATAGTTTTGGACTTATAGAAGAGTTGCAAATATCGTACAGAGAGATCTGTCATTTCTTAATACAGCTATTCTACTCACTCATCTCTCACATACATTCTCAGAATGACATTTTTCCTGTGTCTTCAATCTCTTGCCACAATCCTTCATCCTTCTGTTCAATTGATATGCTCTATTGTCAACATCCTTCCTAAATAAGACACCCAGAACTGGTAGCTGGAAAGCTCCAATGTATTCTCTGACCAGGAAGGAGGATCATCACCTCCCCTGACCTGTACACTGCACTCCTATTAATGCAGCCAACCACCACTTCACATTACTGACTCATCTTTGATTCAGAAAGATCTCAATGGGATGAAAAAATGTGACATATAAAGATAAATGTAAACCTTGCATCTTTTAGATCCAAAAAAGAAAAAGAAAACTAGTATGACAGTCTTAAAAAGAAATCAGAGAAATGAAAATTAAACAAATAATGTTATATACCATTTGTTCCAAGCCAAATCAGCAAATATTTAAAGGCAATAATATCCTATGCAGGTGATGGTATAGTGGGAGTAAAAATTGCTTCAATCTCTCTGGAAAGTATCATGTATCAAGAACCTTTGAAATATGCATTCCGGGATGCCTGGGTGGCTCAGTAGTTGAGAGTCTGCCTTTGGCTCAGGTCCTGATCCCAGGATCCTGGGATCGAGTCCCACACCAGGCTCCCCGCAGGGAGTCTGTTTCTTCCTCTGCCTATGTCTCTGCCTCTCTCTCTGCATCTCTCATGAATGAATAAATAAAATCTTTTTTAAAAAGTGTATTCCAAAAAAAAAAGTGTATTCCTTTTGACCTCCCTTCTACCTCTAACAATTAGTTCTATGAGCACACACACACACAAGAAGAAATAAACACAGAAGGAAAAGCATATTTATACATAACAAGATATTTATCACAGAACCATTGTGATGAAAAACACTGAAATGTCCCACAATAGAAGAACAATTAACAAAATTATTTTAAATCAAATTATTTTAATGTATGCCACCATTAAGATGATGCTCACCAAGAGTTTTAAAAGATGTCAGCACATGCTAAGAATGTAACGTTAAGCGAAAAAGCAGAATTCAAATTTTACATGTACAGTGTGATTCTTGCCATCTGTTTTAAAAAAGTGGTAAGTTGAATGACATGAAAATGCCCTTTTTTTGTAGGTCAAATGATTGAATACTGGTCATTTCATGTGGTTCAATCTCATACATGCATAGATCACAAGATTGTAAAAAGATGTGTTAGATGTTAATAATGGTTAACTTGGGGTGGTAAGTTTGTGGACATAGTTGTTATTTTTGTTTGTATTTTTTCCACACTTTTCATTTCTCTCCAGTGGGTAAGTACTATTTTATAGCCAGAGGAAAAGGGTAATTAATTAAAAAAAAAAAAGAAAAGAAAAAACAGGCACAAGGATAGTTTTGGGGAAACCTTGCTGACAGCTGTTCATATGAAAATGACTTTGAAGTTCAAATGGCCCAAGCTCCGTGGTGTTAATACTGCAGGGAAAGAATGCAGGCTTCGGAGCCCAGAGACAAGGTTTCCAAACCCAGGGCTGTTACTCACCAGCCGTGTGACCTTGGGCAAATTACTTAACTTCTCTGAGCCTCAGATTCCTCATCTGCAAAATGTGGATAATATCTACTTTGCAGGCTTGTAGGAACAAATAAAGTATCAGGTGGGGTATCTAGACAATGCCTGGCACTTAGAAGACACTTGGAGCGTGTTAATTTTTCCCCACCTCCACCTCCACCCCCATCATCCTTCCACCCTTCAACACAAGTCATGGGTCATATGAAGTATGAGTTATAAGAGAGCTGCTAAAAAAATTAGGCCAATCTCAGTTACAATAATGGAGTGCTGTGGGACAGCAGGAAACATTGGGGTGTTTAGAATGTTATGTCCAATTCTGGGCAAGGTATTTTTTTTAAAGATTTTATTTATTTATTCATAGACACAGAGAGAGAGAGAGGCAGAGACACAGGGAGAGGGAGAAGCAGGCTCCATGCAGGGAGCCCGACGTGGGACTCGATCCCGGGTCTCCAGGATCACACCTCAAGCTGCAGGCGGCCCCAAACCGCTGCGCCACCAGGGCTGCCCTGGGCATGGTATTTTAAGAGGCATGTTGATAAACTGGAACATTTTAGGAGAAGGGAAGAGTGTGTGAAAAAACTGGGTATATTATGCCCCAAGGAAACAAACAAACTTGGGGGAGAAAAGTATTAGAATGACTGACAGGTAGAAGCATAAGACCCAGTGTGTGAGCTCCAGGGTAAGGAAGTTACCAAAAAGAAATCTGACTCAGGGTGACCAAAAATTTTCTGAGAGCAAGAGGTAGTGTTTGATGGGATGGTTGCCATGTGACATTGAGCTTCCCCGCTGAGGTGACTATGATCCCAGAAGCCAGGAGCCACGTCCCAGGAATGAGGAAGAGAGCCAAAAGGGCAGTAAGCTGCCTTTGCTAAATTAACCGTGCCTGGACTTTGGGACATCGAGGAGCAGTCAAATGTTAAGAAATCAGAGGACCAATAAATGTCAGCCTATAATCTTGCCATGGGCAGGATGAGCCCCATACCTGAGGGCATGAGCCTCACTCCTAGGAACACATGGTTTGGCAGCTCCCAGTTCAGAAGCAGATTTGGGCCAGTCTGTGACAGCATGAGGAGGCAGGGGGTGACAAGTATGGGGTGTTTGGCCTGAATATTCTGCACTGTCCTGAGGTCGGGTTTATTGTCTGCCAGGGAACCCTCAGGATGCCAGCCAACCCCACTTGCTCCTGCATTGTGTGTTTAAGTTCTGACCCAGAAAGAGCTCTCCTCCCAGGAGGCCTGCTGTGCCCTCAGTATGCCAGCCCTCCACATCTGCAGTGGGTGCCACCCCCCAGGGGGCTTGGGATCCAGAAGCCTCACTGCTGTCTGTCCTAGATCAAGCTGCCTGTCTCTCTGCTGTATTTCCTGACTGGGCCAAATTCCTTCTGCATCCTCTAGATCAGGGGTCAGCAGACTTTTTCTGTAAAGGGATAGATAATAAATGTTTTAGACTTTGGATGCCATTTGGTGTCTTGCCGCTACTCAGCTCTGCTCTTGTAGTGCAAATGGCCGTAGCTATGTCTCAATAAAACTTTACTTGCAAAGGCTGTGGCAACCTCTGCTGTAGGTAAGCAAACCCATTTTATTCACTCAAGCGGCAGCCTGGTCTTTCTGCCAATTGGAGTCCACTATGGGCATTTGTCAATAAGTAGAGTGGCATGTGCCAAGTAAGGAAATTGAAAAAAGACAATCAACAAATGCACATTTCCATCATCATTTGATTAAAAGAAAAAAGACATTTCTTTTTCAATCAATAGGATGATTCAGATCTCAGAGTAAAAGACAAAGCATGGACCAGAATCTAGGCTCCAGTAAATCACACAGTCTGGAAACTCTTCTGATCTTAGGGATTTTAATTTTTTTTAATTTTTTTATGGGCATTGAAGCCAAGGTAGGTCTCCTTCCCACTATTTTTGGTCAATTAAAATTCTGAGTTAAGTCCAAACTTTGCACTTATCTTTGTTAAATTTTAGCTCCCGGTTATTTTAGTTTCAATCCTGGATGAATATCATGGTTAAGGCCCTGGGCTTTGTCCTTTCCCAGCTGACTGGTCTAAGCCAACAGTGTCTCAGATGTGGTTTCAATAGAGATGACTCACAAAAACAAAAGCTCCCTGGGGTCCTCAATAATTTTTAAGTGTGTAAAAGGGTTCCAAGGCCAAAAGGTTTGAGAACCACTGGCCTAGGTCAATCCTGTGTCCCATCCCTTTGCCAAGGATGGTCCAGGGGTGGACAGGCTCAAGTCATTTGGGGCCTCAAGTCATATGAGGACAAGCTTGCTGGGGTTTGGGTAAAGAAGTTTTCCTACTTTTAGGAAAGAGCCATAGAAAATCAGGCTGTCCCTCCTCCTGGACAAGCAGGCATCGGGGAGTCCGTGGCTGTCATCACCAATGGCAGTCACCTTCCATCAAGAGAGGTGCCAGCCTCAAGAAGAAGCCATCAGGATAGCAGGAGGAGAAATGGAAAGAACTCATCCTTTGGCAGCTTCTTAGGGCTGCTTTGTTAAAGAATTCTGAACCCCCAGTTACATGAGCCACATTTGTTTATTAGGCAAGTTGGAAATTTCTGTTTCTTGCAGCCCAGAGCATCCTTTCGAACCTTTATGATGCCATCCATCATAAGAAGGTTCTTTCTTAATTTTATGGCTTTTGACAATGTGATCACATAAACTTCCTGTCCTCAGATACTCAGTGATAGAAGTGGTAACCTGCAGGGGTCCTTCAAAACCATCGGTACCCACTGATCAATGCTTGTTGGTCTCGTTATTAAAGCACCCTGCTCTGGCCAGATCTGAAGACCTCGTGTGTTTCCCCAAACAGGATGACAAGCCCTGGGAGGGAAGAAACTCAAGTCTCCACTCTGGTCCCCCAATTGGTCTCCATACAGAGCAGAACTGGCCAGAGGTAAGAGTCTTAGAACAAATTCAGAAGTGGGTATGGTCTGTCTCAAGACCTCATGCTTTCTCCCTTCACTCTGCTGCTCTCTCCTCCCCACCCATGCTTCTCTAACACCCCCATCCCATCCTCCAAGGGACCAGTAAACCTGTCCATCTGGACTCCCATTGGGGAGTTTAGCCCACGGGGCTGCAAAAGAGCATCTCACAGGGGGCATGCACTGTACTAGGGAGGTAGCAGAAGCTAGAGGAAGGATAGGACGCCTGGGTGGCTCAGTGGTTGAGCATCTGCCTTTGGCTCAGGTCATGATCCTGGGGTCCCAGTATCGAGTCCTGCATTGGGCTCCCCACAGGGAGCCTGTTTCTCCCTCTCACTGTGTCTCTGCCTCTCTCTGTATTTCTCATGAATAAATAAATAAAATCTTAAAAAAAAAAAAAGAAACTAGAGGAAAGAACACAGGCTCTTTTTGGAATTAACTTGGTTTGAGTCTTGCCTCCACTAGTTTCTGAGCATGTTCCTTAACCCCTCTGAGCCTCGGTTTCTTCATCTGCAAAATAGGGACAATTTTACAATGAATCTTTCTGAGGATTTCGTGTAACTGTATCAAGCAGCCAGCTCACGGTAGGTGGTCACTACAACAACAAACATTCATCGGGCACCTGGTAGGTGCCAGGCATTGTGCTGGGGTCTGTGGGCCTGGAAGTGAACAAGCGACTGATTTATCCCTGTAATATCCCTAAACCTAGACCCAAGTCTGGCTCACAGTAGGTGCTTAATAAATGCTGGTTAAGTGAATTAAAACCTTTGAAGAGCTCATATTTTAGTGAGAGAGATGGATGCCCATGGCACATGCTGACAATTTCATTTAACGTAGTAGGTAGTAGGTGGGGGCCAATGAAACATATTAAGGGAGCCCATCCTGGGGGTGGGGAGGTGGGAAGAAAGGGCTTTCTGGAGTTGATGGGCAGGAGTGGAGTCTTGAAGGATGTGTACAAATCAGGCAGGAAAAGTAAGGATGAGGGGCTCTTTGAAACTCCTGGGCACTCCAGGCACCCGGAGAAGCTCAGCCCACTGGTCAGCATCACCTCTTAAATGGGCCAACCCTACACCAGTCTGCTCGTTCCTTCCCATCAGAGCCCAAGACACCCCAATAGTAAACATTTATTGAGCACTTACTGTAGCCAGGCACCCTGCTCAGCACTTCCCTGGATTACCTCACTTGGTTCTCTTGACAAGTCTGTGAGGTCACAGCCACATTTCCTCGATGGAGAAACTGAAGCACAGAGAAGTTAAGTCCTTCCCTCCCTGACCAAGGTCACAGTCAGGGTTCAGACTCTCCAGTCTGGGTCCAGGCATTTAGCCACCATGTTGCTTCTCTTTTGCTTTCATGACTAAATCACCCCCCGTCTCATGGTGGCACCGTGTCTGGGTCTTCGAGAACACCATCTCTGTCATGAACACCAGACCAGGGCAGCAAGGCAGGCCCAGCGAACCCCAGGTGATGAGCAGGGGACATGGGGGGTAACAGGAGCAGCTCCCAGTCCCCTGATCTTGACCTGGGGCTGGCCCTACTCTGTCCTCTCCCAGAGGGCTTCTCACCCTACAGGCCCCCACCTGGAAAAGATGGGCAGACAGGCTTACCCGCTTCTCATTGGACGAGTCATTCACGTTAACCCCACAGGCCAGGTCCGGCCTGGGGAAGGTCTCCGACCAGCCATCCTGCGTGCAGTTTCGAAACATGGAACCTATAGGGGCCAAGCATCCTGCAGGTGAGCGGCACCCTATGGTCCCAGCAGCTTTCCTCCACTGGACTCCAAGCCCCCCACAGGACTTGAGGTCACCCCATCCCTCACCTCCATTCCCACCCCCACCCCACCCCTCACCTTCCCTTCCCAGGCTCCAATCTCAGCTCCAAGGTCCCTTGGCACTCCAGGAGGGACTTCCCCATACTTCACCCCTACTGCCTGGGGTGCCACTTCTGGCTTTTTGAGGGTATTTTCCCAAACAGGGGCGCCTCCCAATCCACATTGTGTCCACAGGAGGTGAATAATAAACCTTCACGCTGGTAGGACACCAGTACTCTTTCAAGGATGGCAGCGTCCCCATAAATTTCAAGAGGCCGAGGACAACAGTCTCAAGCAATTTTGAATTATACAACCCTAACCAAAAAAACCCATTCATCTCACTAAAGATGATTTATTTACTCAATATAAAATTCTAGCTCTAATAAAATAACACAAGGTGATTACTATGTGCCAGACACCGTTCTAAAGCCTATGGCAGGTAGCAACTCATTTAATCCTTAGCAAGACTATGAGCTATGCAGTTACTTTTCCTGTAAAATAAATTATAACATGTAAATACTGCATCCATTTTACAGTGGGGAAACTGAGGCAAAAGCAGATAAATAATCTCTTAATCACAGCATAGTACGTGGGGGGAATGAGATTGAACCCCAGGTCTCCGACCCTTAATCTTAGCCCACACTATGTACTGGCCCCTTTCTTTCTCCTGCTTATCCAAATCCCAGGTCTGCACTGTCGTCTTCATGGGTGGCCTTCCCCGAGTAAATCTGGCACCCTTGGAAGGATCTGGCCACGACCCATGGTGAAATTTTCCTCTGGCTCCTGGTGCTACTGTGGCACCAAGAAGTTCCATTCAATCTAACTCCACAACCTGGCTAACCACACCTGAAAACCACCACCAGAGCATCACACTGAGGTCAGACTCCCAGGGGCCACTCCCTCATGGAAAGGAGTACTTCACAGTCCCTTCAGGCCACACCTCTGCATTCTCTGCATTGTGAATCACAGGATAACTGCATCTTTCCCGCAGAGCTCACTGCCCTTCTCCAGCACAGGGCCCAATAGCAATTCCAGAGCCCCACCACACAGTGGTGGCTGGCTTTCCCTCTCCCCCTGGCAGAGGAATAGTTTCCTGAGGGCTCCATGTGCCTACCCAGACCCCTTGCTCATCTGTTTTGCTGACCAGTTGTCCAGAAGAGCCACTGAGTGCAGAATGAAGCGCCTTCGCTAAACTCTTCTATAAGAAACAGGGAAGTTTGCCTACAAGGACCTTTTAGAACAGCAAGCCGAAGACAATGGGAAGGGAGCTTCAGCTTGAGAAGAAGCCATGGGAACCCAGGAAGGAGGTTGCCCTCCATTGACTGAATTGGTTCACAAGGAGTTCAGGTCAAACAGGTTCCACTGAACTTGAGAAATCTGGCTCGGCATTTCTAGAACACAGCCACGATGCTAATGACAGATTCTGATCGAATCGTCATAGCACCCATAGGGAGGTACCACTAGGCCTTATTCTAACAGACAAGAAAACCGAGCACCAGAGATTGAGCAACACCCCCCAGGGAAGTGACTCTGCAGTCCCGGGGAAAGCTTCTACACCAGGAGACACGGACTTTCTGGATCTAGGGAATGCAGTCCATGAGGGCTCCTGAGACCTGGAGGACGGGTTTCCAACTAGCTAGATCTGAGTCTGAAACTGGCAACTCCCCCTCTTGGCCATCTGGGTGTTGACTTAGGGGCATCACTTCTCTGTGCCCATTGAGAATAACCACTCACTCTGCAAGACTGGGCAGGAAACATGATAGCATGCGGAAAGGGCCCAGGCTGGTGCCAGGCACAAGTGAACACCAGAGTGTGACTCCCTCCTCCTTTTAGCTTTTCAAAAATAGACCAGGGGTGGAGGGGCTTGGAGTCATGGAATTTAGGAGGGGGTGGGAGATTTCCACAGTTAAGTCAAGGGAGTAAGGCTGTGCAACAGGATAGAATGGTGGTCAGATTTAGGCTGGCTGGATGGGAAGTTGAATTAAGAGAACACAAACTCCCTGGAGCCCAGAACTAGGTATCGTATCAGTGTGTCCCTTGAGGCTGGCCTGGGCTGCCTGTTTGAGGGTCTCCTCCTCACTGACCCAGTGGGATGCCCCAGACAGAGGCTGCATGTGATCCAGGCCAGGCCCTGGTGTGGCTAACAAGGCAGTGCCCTTTGCTGACAGGGCTCTTTGCAGAACTGTGGCAGAGACAAGGGCTGGGCTCTCTCTAGAGTCCCTTCAACCCCACCCACTTCCTCTGGAGTTAATTTCTAATAGGTCAGGGGTCGTTACCAGGTTCAGGACACTGTATACCTTGAGGTTCCTTGCAGGTACAGTCAGTATTTTTGTGCATATACATATGTGCAGTTTGGAGAAGAGCCCATCCACAGCTTTGATCCAATTCTCAAAAGGCTCCAGGACCCTAACCAGGCTAGGAACCTCTACTGCTTTAAGACTCCAATCCCAAGATAGAAGGGAAAGGCCAAAGCCTGCCCCTGCCCGGGAGGTGTGTTTTCTAACTAGGAACTCTGGAAGACCGGTGCTCCATTAAGAATCACAGGAATGCATCCTGGAGGGAACATTCTAGACCTTGGCACATACAGAAAAATATCTGGGGGCAGATTCCGGCCGGCAGTTTCTTCAGTCACATGGACAACCAACCTGTCTGGGCCCCTGTAGTGGGTGCCCTGAGAAATAATTAAACTTATGATTATTATTTTCTTCTTTCAAAAGGAAGGGTTGGTCCAAAACACCAGACTGTCCTCATGTCCTCACTGGGTGCTCCTGCCTGCGTTGGGTTGGGGGCCCCTGGAATCCTGTGGGACTGCGGGAAGCTTTCCTTCCTGACTGGGGTAGGCGGATGTTGGGATCTATGGGGAGGGAAGGTGGTGCTCAGAAGATGGTTCTTGGTGACTGAGGCCAGACTAGTGCTGACCCGCGCCCCTGGACTGGCTGGTACCCTGGGCCTGGGGCTGGGGGGTTGCGGGGGAGGGTGAGATGACACTGCCCCCCAACAAGCGCAGGGCTCTCAGCCGTCTGGGCCTCCCCGTGGACGCCGAGACGGGTTGGTTCCTGCGGCCCCGCAGCGACACCGCGTGGCAGCAAGAAGAAACTGCAGCAGAGGTAGGGGCGGGACCCCAGCTTCCTCACCCGCAGTGAGCAGACCTGGACCTGCACCCCTCGGTGAACTCCGATGGGTCTTTTTTTTTAAGTATTTTTTTATTGGAGTTCAGTTTGCCAACATATAGCATAACACCCAGTGCTCATCCCATCAAGTGCCCCCCTCAGTGCCCATCACCCAGTCACCCCCACCCCCCACCCACCTCCCTTTCTACCACCCCTAGTTCGTTTCCCAGTGTTAGGAGTCTCTCATGCTCTGTCTCCCTCTCTGATATTTCCACTCATTTTCTCTCCAGTGGGTCTTGAGCAATTAAAGCGTAGGGGATCCTCCAAAAGGAGTCAGTGGGCTACTAGTTAATGAGGCAGGCAGGCGTTCTAGCAAGTGATCCGGAAGGATTTGGCCATGAGCATGGTTCTAACTGGCCCGGCTGCAGGAAGGTATGAGGGATGATGGTGGGGGAGGCAGAGGTGTTGCCAGCGCCGTGAGGGAGAGGCTGGGAGAGGAGGAGAGCTTCAAGTCCCTCCAACAGGAGAACTCGGTCAGCAAGGAAGGAGCACTGGACAGGGAGTCCAGGATCTGGTCCTGGCCTTGCATCTGACCAGCACATTGCTCCAGGTCAACCATGTGTGGATTAATCTTGTGTGTTGCGAGTTCTATGGACCCCCCCCCCCCCCGCCACAGACTTGGAAGGGTGATGCTGGGAGGAAAAGACTGTTGGTAGGCCTGCAGGCATGTGTGTGCAGGATGGAAGTTGTGGGAGGGTAAGAAGGGAAAAGAGAGGGAGAGAAAGGACAAAGGAAGATATTTAGGGGCGCCTGGGTGGCTCAGTCAGCTAAGCATCTGCCTTCAGCTCTGGTAGTGGTCTCCAGGTCCTGGGATCCAGTTGTGAGTCAGGGCTTCCTGCTCAGCAGGGAGTCTGCTCTCTCTCTCTCTCTCTCTCTCTCTCTCTCTCTCTCTCTCTCTCCCCCATCCCTCCCCACTGCTCATTCTCTCTCTCTCTCTTGCAAATAAAAAATAAAATCTTTTTTTTTAAGAAAAGGAAGATATTTAAAATTAATTTCCAAGCCCAGACTTATAGATTGGTCTTGTTTATTCTCCCCATTTTACAGGGGAGAAAATCGAGGCTGAGAATGAATAACTTGGGCTCTCAGGTGGAGATTGATACCTGGCTGGACCATGCTTTCCCACGCCCCTCGCAGGTCGGTGTCACCACCCAACTGAGTTCTGGCAGAGGCAGTGTGGGCAGAAGCAGGATCATGCACAGGCCTGGTGCTAATCAGGGACAGCTGGTGTGGATGTCAGGCAGGCAGATAGTGTCTGTATGAAGGCTTTGAGATTTGGGACACCTGTGTCAGCAGCTGGCATTATCCAAGCCGTAAGTGGAGAAGGGGGACTCGAACCTGTCTCCTGGTCCCCTGCAGTTCCCGTCTGCTGGGCATCAATGGCTGAGCGGGAGAGTGTGCTCCTCAGATCTGGGGGGGGAGGGGCTATGTGCACATGTGTGTGCACCTGCATACTAGAGAATTACACGGTGAGGAATTTACACTCCTGTCCCACACTTCATGGTCTTGGTCCCCCACCCCCACGGCCAGTCATCCTTTCCTTACCTGGCTTTGGGATGCTGGTGGGTTTCAGTGTTAGACCATCTTTTCTGGTTCATTCTCATTAAGGTCCTCGTTGGTCAGGGAAGAAGGACAGCAGGGCCAGGCCAGGCTTTAGGCTTTAAATTACCTCATGGAGGGCAGGGGCCAAAGGCCATGAAACTACCTTGCTTCCAGCCAGCGTCACCCCCATCTCGAGGTTGGAGTCCCACCTTGACCATGGCTTCGAGGACAGGGCATTGGTTTTGAAGTTGGAGAAATCTGGGTTTGAATCTTAGTTTCTCCACCTTCTAGCTGTGAACCTTAGGCAAAGTGCTAAAGTTCTCGTAGTCTCTGTTATTTTTGCTCATTATTGGGTCAAGGGGAAGAGGCAAGGTCTCTGATGTTGTGACAGTTAAATGAGCCCATGTTTATGAAAATCCCCAGCATGGACTGGGGCTTTAGACCATGTCAGTCCCTGAATATTCCCTGTCGGAGACACTCCCACCTCCCTGCCTCAAATTAAGAAAATCCTTGGGCAATCTGGGTGGCTCAGCGGTTTAGCGCCGCCTTCAGTCAGGGCCTGATCCTGAAGACCAGGGATCGAGTCCCATGTCAGGCTCCCTGCATGGAGCCTAGCCTGCTTCTCCTTCTGCTTATGTCTCTGCCTCTCTCTCTCTGTGTGTGTGTCTCTCATGAGTAAATAAAATCTTAAAAAAAAAAAATCCTTGTAAACTGTAGTATTCCCCGGGGCAAGAGATCCCCAGGAGGCCAGGGGCTTTCAGGGAGGGCAAGTTTATCAGCAGGACCTAGTAGAATGGCAGATAGGAAGGAAGTGTTCTGGAAAGCTTGGTTGTGCCAGGGTGGGACCCAGACCCAGGGCCTGGAACAAACGGTCTGGTTGCTAAGGGGACAGAAGCATGGAAGGAAATGGGGGAGCTTATATGGGGGTATGGGACAGAGAGAAGCAAACCCAGTCTCCTTTATCATGTCCTAGTAAAGACCTCCTGGCCCCCTCCCTTAGGACCCTGCAATCGAGCCCACCCCATACCCCCAAGCAAGGCCTCCAACCCCCAGCAGGGACCACCTCCCACCATTCCATCCACCACTTGTCCCCAGAGGTTCCTGGGCCTCCAGGCCAGTCCGCGCCCCCACAAGAGGGCCACCCCCTGCCTCACAGCCAGCGCCCCCTGCACTGAGTGGTTACCGTTTCTGCCAGTGAGCATCCGGAGGAATTGCGGGCACCCCACTTCCACAGTCTGTCCCAGAACGGAGGAGGGCCAGCAGCTCATGTTGTCCCACAGCCCCTCGCAACCTGCCAAGAGGAGCCACAGCATTAGACAGGATGGAGCATGGGCGAGGGCCTCCCCCACCACCTGTCACCGTCCCCAGCGCTCCGGGGCCTGCTCAGAGTTCCCATTAGGCAGTGACTCTCCGGGTTGGGAACCAAAGGCTGTCTGATGTGCCTTTGTATCTCTGGGGCCATCTACACAGTAAGCACTCACGCTGAAGGCACGAAGGAAGGAAAGAACACATATTATCTGATATCAGCCTTACAAGGGCAGGTCTGGGTTTCTCTAGAACAGAAGAGAGAATACCTCTTGGTGGCAGCTTGCATTAGACTGGGGAGCGGGGGATCTCTAGCCTGGCTGCGTAATGTCACCGTCTAAGGAGCTTTAAAAACATACACCTTTAAAGCTTTACATCTAAGAAGCTTTAAAAACACCCAGGGATCCTGATTTAACCGGTCTGGGGAGGGGCCCAGGCATGACACTGAATTACCACAGGCTCCTGTGCCCTTCCCGGTGTGCATCCCTTGCAAAACAGGCTTGCGTCTGCACACTGACTCCTGAATTCCAGGATCTGGTCAGCCAGGTTCCAGCTGTGGACACTGCTCACCAGACCAGAGCAGAGACTGCCAGAGCTTGCGGGCTCCCGGTGACTCTGGCCTCCCCAGCTGCCCCTGGGACGGCGACACTGCGCTGGGAAGGCCCGTAACAGGTAATCCGCTGTGTCTACGTGAGTTATTCTAGCGTCTGGAGTCTGGAAGATGGGGCTGACCCATGTCCTTTCTCTTCTGCAGAAGTCTCCATATATGACTGCAGGATGCCTCATTTACAATGAGCCACATCTCTTGTATTCGAAGCAGTTGGGGCATTTTCCAGCCATGGAAAAATTCAAGGGCCTCTTTCCTCACTTTGGGAGAAATGAATCCAGGGCTGGGCCTGGCCAGGTCAGCCAAGGCACGGGCCCACGGCTCCTGCCCAGGAGGTCAGACAACCCACGTCCTGTTGGCCAGACAGATGGAGAGGGTGCCAGGGCATCTGGCAGGATTCCTGACCTGGGTCATCAGGCTGGGCCCATGGGGACACTGCCCTGGCGCAGATGGCAGCAGAGGAGCGGCTGGTGGTAAGGTGGGAGCAGGCTCCCCTCCACATGAGTAGGGTCCCCCTGACAGCTGGCTCATATCAGCCCTGCAGGAGAAAAGCCTGGGGATGGGGCCAACCCAGATCAGCGCTGCACATGCATCAGACCCTGTGGAGCCCGTAGGGGTTGGGTAAGGTCACGGCCCCACAGCATGGGTGATGGAGATGAGGAGCCCAAGCTCCAAAAGGCAAAGTGACATGAGCAAGAGGACAGAGCTAATCCTGGTGGAGCCGGAATCCCACCCTCCAGGCTGCTTGGTGGCAGCAGACCTGATGCTACTACCTCCATGGGGCATTGCTCGTGTCTTGAGCACTGTGATGTGCTATGATGCAGCCACACTCTCTCTCCCAGCCTCAACTCAGAGGGTGTTGGAACAGACCTAGTGTTCCCAGTATGAGGAGCACATCCCCAGTGGCATGCTCTTCTAGCTGGTACATGGCTAAATGCTTTCCATTTTAATAGGTTACTCGTTTCTTTAAAAAAAAAAAGAGGATTTAATATGCATTAAAAAGTTATAGAACTAGCATGTCACAGCTGTGATTTTATACCTGTTATTATTTAGGATGAGGCTAAGTTAAAAAGTAAAAGTCTATTGAAGAAAAGGGAATCCTTGGGGCACCTGGGTGGCTCAGTCATTTGGGCGTCTGACTCTTGTTTTTGGCTCAGGTCATGATCTCAGGGTCTGGAGATTGAGCCCCGCATCGGGCTCTAGGCTGAGCACAGGGTCTGCTTGAGATTCTCCGTTGCCCTCTTCCCCTCTCCCCACTCACATTCTCTCTCTCTTTCTCCAAAATAAATAAATACATCTTTTTAAGAACGTAGGAGGAAAAAAAAAAACATAAGAGGGACGCTCATACACTGTTGGGGGAATGTAAACTGGTACAACCACCATGGAAAACAGTATGGAGGAGCCTCAAAAAATAAAAATAGTACTACCGCATGATCCAGCAATCACACTTCTGGGTATATCCCCCCAAAAGTGAAATCAGGACCTCAAAGAGATCTCTGCACTCCTGTGTCCACTGCAGCATTGTTCACAATAGCCAAGCTGTGGAAGCAGCCCACGTGTTCACCGAACCATGACTGGATAAGGAAGATTACAATGGCACATTACTCAGCCTTAAAAACTAAAGAAATCCTCCCACTTGTGACTTGTGGTAAACAAGAATTCTGGTGTGAACAACATGCTTGGGAGAAAACAGAAAAGGAGCAAGACTTCCCTCAGACTGGGAAGAAAAGGAAGGCAAGTGAAGAGTGGGACGTACAAGGTTCCAGAAAGAGGTGTGAGAGCCCTGCCGTCCAGCCAGCCCTGGATGGTGGGATAGCCCAGAGGAGAAAGGGCTGTAGGGACCGTCTAGACCAGCAGGACCACAGACAAGCCTTGCAGAGCCCATGCCTCCCAGTGAAGCACAGAAATCTGTTGGCCACCGCTCTCAAGACCACTCTCTTGGCCACCAAGCTCAGGACCACGTGGGCTCCCCCAGATACCAGGGTGCCTGTGGATCTCTGATACCCTGGGCAAGATGTGGGGAAGAGCCACAAAATCCCAAGGCTTAGGTTAGGTTTCTTCACCCCAGGAGAATGGAGTCAGAATTAAAGTTACAGAAAACTGAGAAAGTTCTCTTTTTGCCCACTGGAGTTGATGGACAGACATCGGTCTCCTTTGCACTTGTGAAGCCCCTGGCACTGGGCCAGCCGAGGCTCGGTGACATAGCCTCCTTCTGTCCTGCAGTCCTGCTGTCCTGCCTCACCCCCTGCCCCTGTAGAGAAGGGTGGCCCACGGGCAGGTCTGGCAACGGGGAGGGGCTGGATTACAGGTAAAGGTGATCCAAGAGAGGGCAGCACAGTGCCTGGGCATCTCTACATCCCCACCCAGCCCAGTGCCTGGCAAACAGCCAGCCTTCTGCCAACTGCATGTCTGCCCTGCATCCACCCAGAGGGGAGCATCCATCTTCCAGGCCTTGATTTATTTATAAATGAGCTCAGACGGCCTGACGATAACCTGAGAGCATTTCCGGAGCCTTGTGTCAGGCGGCAGTGCCATGGGGCCAGGACCAAGCCAGGCCCCCGGGGATGTGCTGGGTGGGGGCAGTGGGTCCTCCGGCCCTCCAAGCCCCCCACACCACCCCTGCTGCTTGCTGGGCCAGCTAAGGGAGGTCACGGGGACCCAAGGTCCCCCTGGCCTCGCCCTTCGGGTCCTCCCCTAGCTTCCGCCTGCATCAGTGTTAACTCTCTCCTCCCACTAGAGCTGCCATAGCCATCTTCCAGGTGCCTCCTGACCCTGCTCACTGCCACCCACCCTGTGTCCTCCCCGAGGCCCCGCAGCCGCCTGTTCCTCGGCTTCATCGCGTCTCTCTTTACCTTTCTCAGCTACCCCAGCCCCATCCCTAGGCCATCCACCGGGCAACTCGGGCAACTCGGTGAGGCCTCCTGGGCTTTGCTAATGAGCTGATCTACAGTATCCGGGTCAGGAAAGGTGTTGCCCTCCAGGTGATGGCTGGACCACACACAGGAGTGGTCAGGATGGGGTCAAGGGAACTGAAGTCCCAGGTGAAAAAGACATTTCAAAGCAGAGCATGGGAGGAACAGCTAAACAGCCTGGAGGTCGGGGGGGGGGGTGCAGTTCTCTTTAAACCAGGAAGCATGGGGCATCTGGGTGGCTCAGTGGTTGAGGATCTTCCTTCGGCTCAGGGCATGATCCTGGGATCAAGTCCTGCAATCAGGCTCCCTGCAGGGAGCCTGCTTCTCCCTCTGCCTATGTCTCTGCCTCTCTCTGTGTCTCTCATGAATAGATAACTAAAGTCTTTTTTTAAAAACCCCAAAACCAGGAAGCACAAGCTGTTCCACAGAATACACTGCATTGGGAGTAGTGAGTTCCCCACCACTAAAAGTATTCAAGCAGGGCACGGAATTAGCAGACTGGGAAATACTTTAGATGTTGCATGGAGGCTTCGAGAGATACGAGGAAGGACACTTCGAGCCTGAGGCTGAAGGCTGCTTTCCTTAAGGTGAGCTCCTGAGCACTGTGCGCTGAGCCCATCCCCTCTCAGGCACTGGGCAAACTGTACATTGCCCTGCAGAATCCTCTCATCCACCCCAATAGCTCTTTCTCACCTGGCCTAAAGCTCTTTGTTTCATGCTGCCTCTCCCATGAATTAAAGATTAATTGGCATCAACAGTCTGTCTTTTTTTTTTTTTTCTAACTTCTAAATCCCTTCTTGGGAGTGTGAAGGTATCAATCATTCACAGCTCAGGCAGGGTTGCAAACTACAAAATTCTCTGGATTTAAAGTCAAGACATGTGAGATAGAGTCCTATTTCAGCTCTGGGTGATCCTGAGTCTCTTGGGGCCCCTATTTTCCTCATCTGTGAATTGGGGTTAATCACAGTACCTACTATACAGGGTGAAAACTAAAAAAAAAAAGAAGAAGAAGAAGAAGAAGAAGTCTGAAATGTTACACAAACATAAGTTACTTGTTTCTGAAAAATGAGCCAAGATTTGTTGTGCCGAGCAAAGGAGAGGGGAAGTGAGCTGTGGGCAGGGTGGGCGTGTCAGGCACTGGGGGAAGACAGTTGGCTTCTGGAACCCCTCAGGAGGAGAATCCAGAAAAGGAGCTGGGAATGTTTGCTAGAAAAAAACTGTGTTAAAATCAGCATGTCTGAAATACTGGTGTAGACTACAGGGTGAATGAACCTCGAAAACATGCTCAGTGGAAGAAGGCAGACACAGGTCACATACTGTAGGATTCTGTTTAGAAATCCAAGGTCAGGAGCACCCAGGTGGCTCAGTGGTTGAGTGTCTGCCTTTGGCTCAGGTCGTGACCCCGGGTCCTGGGATTGAGTCCCACATCGGAGTTCCGATGGGGAGCCTGCTTCTCCCTCTGTCTGT